GAGGAAGTGTTGGTGGTTCTAGTGCTTACAGGGATGTAACATTCTCGTTCTCACCGTTTACAGAGTTTAATGGGCTTGGGGCCAAACTGTATCCAACGGAAACTCAGCTCTTGTTGGACTAGACTGAGTCAGCTGACTCCACATTCCCATGGTCCCTCCAGAGAAGGGCATCGAAGTCAATCTCTGAAAACACACCGCAAAGAAAATGTTTGGACAAATGCTCAGCTGAGCATCATGGGAAGAGAATACATGACAATAATAAAGGGATAGTTCATCCAAAAAATTGTATTCTTTCATCTTTTATTCACCCTCATGTTGTTCCAAGCCTGTATGACTTTCTTCTGTGAAGCACATAAGAGAATACATTGAAAAAAGGTCTCAGTGTTGTAATGTTACAGTGAAGGTCAGTGGTGTACAATGTTGTTTTGGACCCCATTAACTTTCATTGTATGGACAAAAACAAAATATTTAATTTTAGTCTTGTTGAAATAAAACTTTTAACTTTTTCTATTTAAAACTCACTTAGGCCCTGTCCCATGGGTGCACTTCATGCGGACTTTGGGTCTCGTGGACTTAAATTGCGCGTGTTCGCTGAGTCTACGTGTCAGTAGGCCGTCCCATTTAGCATTTCAACGCTCTGAAGTGTGCTCAGCAGCGCCCCCTTTGTACCTAGATGCAGGCTCCATGCACTTTAACTACCCAGGAATCCTTGCGAAATGCCAATCAGAAAACGGATGAGATTTCGCTCACGGACTGTAAACATGGCTGAGAAGAGAATATTTAAGTATAATTATGTTTTTTTATGACATAGGCGGACATTTTACCAGTTGTTACTTACAGTTTATACAAACATTATCGACCAGTGGTTGATATCTCAAACATAGTAATAGCGCGTTAAATAATACGATCGCATTGTGATTCATTACATAAATAGAACCGAATGTCATGGCTTTACTGACTCATATAAATATTGAAACCAATACATTTTTCTTAAACTCATTTTCATTTTTTGTTAAAATTGAACATTATGTATTATTATGTACAACTGTATTTATCATTTACATTACCATGACATCGATTCTAATGCAGGTGGCATAAACAATTATAGAACTATAAAAGCAGGCTGTGTAGTTCACATGGACATAAGATTTGGGGCAATAAAATAAATCCTGTTTTCGATACTAAAGACTGTAATTTTTAATGATATTTGTGAATTTTTTCTAACAAAGGGACTTATGAGATGACCTTTAAGTTTTTTCAGCTCCGTATAGAGAGGGATAAGGTTTTCACTGGCACGAGGAACGCGTCCGCAAAAATATGATTTATCCACATGAAAAGATGTCATCTTTTCTTGCAAAAATAGTAAAAACCACAACAACAATCGGCAGCATATCGACCCGCAGCTCCTGTCCAACAACAACAATCAGACCTTCTTCCTGTTTCCGGTGTGACGATTGAGTCTGTCTCAAAAAAACCTCTCAATGCGGCCTCGCGGACTCGCGCTAAGGGCCTTATAGGTCTGTACTACATGATGTCACCGAAGTGTAGACTCTGAGGAAGTATGCCATTTGGGACAGGGCCTATATCTGTTTTTCTGTGGAAATCAACAAAGGAAGTGACATACACCACTTTAAGATTTGTTTGTTGTGTTCGGAAAGTTGGCCATTCTTCGTGGGTGAAAAACCAAAACCTCTTGTGAATTCTTGTGAACTTGATGTTGTTGCTAAGTTTCTTCACACATTTGCTGTTTCAATAAAAGTTATGTGTTAGAACCACATTTTATGAACACATTCCAACAAATAGTAATGCCATCAAGTAACATTTTTAAAACTTGGGATACGTAATTATCTTCATAAAGATGATTCACCTATCAATTAACTAAATATAAGTAGATATTGAATATAATTGAGGAAAAAATGAACATTGAACACACTCGCATGTTATGTCTAGTGAACTTGTAAATATGTTTGATGTCTTTGTCTGGGATTTTTATCTTTCATACAGGAGGTCTTCTCAGGAGCTATTTATTCATGCAGAGATAGATAGATGTTATCTGTCTCTGAGGAGGCGGACAAGAATTTTCAAATAAATCCTGCCCTCCTTAAGCTATGACCTATTGTGCTTAACATGTCTCGAAGCATGTCTAACTCTCAGTAATTGCAGAGGTGTCACTATTACCACTGACTTACTAATAATACTAGACCGACTATAACATATTAGTAGACAGCTTCATTATTATAGCAGCAGCAACGTGCATGACAGATGGTGTCGATTTCAAAGCTAAAAACAGATACATATCTGCTACAGACATATATGGAAAGGATTGTTCTGACAAAGGACATGTCAGTTGTTGTTTTTAGCGTCAGTTTGAGTTTAAATTAATGTTTCACAATTTTTAATTGGTTGCTGTTTTGCTGTTAATGTGATTTTTTTAAGTATAAATATATATGTGTAAAAAATGTTGGTAAAGATTTAGATCCATATAACATTAGTATCACCGCTTGAAATTTCAACAATCTATAAATAAATGTTATTCAGCTCATTGTGCATGCTAAAAGAAACTGGTTATCTGCCTTAGTCATGGCAATGAGTAATCCAGTGTTACTGAAACATTCACAGAAAAACTTCATTATTTAATGGCATTCATTCTTTTCTATCCATTGTCCGAACAGCAGATCATCTGGTAGGGACACTGCTTGTGGATATTGCCTAGAGTTGCATCATCAAACTGAACTGGGCCTATACTTCCTAAAGGCAGGGAAAAACACTACTGTTCCACAGTTAGAGGAAAGTAAACATCCCCACTGTAGAAGCCATTAGAGAAACAACAACATGGATTGAATAGTTGTATAGGTCATCTCACTAGTTTAGAAACAAGAGAAGTTTATATTTAACCAGGAAGGTACAAGAGGCTGGACTGTAAATGGACTAAAGGGTTTTTATAGTCAAGGGCCTGAAACCTCCGAATATATATATATATATATTTATATATATGAAGAGTTCAGATGCAAAAGCCTCTAAATGCCATTTGAAATTTTCTTCTTTAATGGTGATTTTTATCAAACTTGTATATTTAAGTTCAGTAATTTCACTTAAATAACAAATAATAGGTAATTATCATCACCATTTAAGTGAAATTACTGAACTTAAATATACAAGTTTGATAAAAAATCACCATTAAAGAAGAAAATTTCAAATGGCACTTAGAGGCTTTTGCATCTGAACTCTTCATATATTTATATATATATATATATATATATATATATTTCCGAATATATTCCAAACAGCATGTGTGTTGTTTCTTTTTTTATAAAATATAATGACAATATAAATAATGTAGTCCCTGACATGTAAATGCACCTAGTGTTTCAGTTAATAGTTAATATATCTGTGCTGTACTGTGCAATGATATATACATCTAGGTGAATGGATGTTGCCGAGTAAGACATATTTTGTTGATCCTGGATCAACTGTCCCAAAATGTACTTACCAATACCTACCCCTAAACTAACCCTACCCATAACTTTTCCCTAAAATCAAAGGGTAATGAAAGGTGAATAACACTGATGTCTAAGTACTTCATCCTGGTTAAGCCTAAACTTGACATAAACTGTAATCTTGTCCCTCAAATATGATTGGTTGATTGAAAAGTTGATCCCGGATCAACAAAGATGTTGATTCAGGAACTTGTTGTTTTTAAAAACTTTCAGTTTTTAAGATGCTACTATTTATTTAAAATTATTTATAATTGCTCAAAATCTGAATGCTTGAGATCTAATCTCTCATCTCCATGTCATTGTTGCATTACATAAATGTCATTTGAATCTGAAATTTTAAAGGGATACTCCACTTTTTTTGTAAATAGGCTCATTTTACCACTCCCCCAGAGTTAAACAGTTGGGTTTACCGTTTTCGGAAGTAAATGAGACCAGAAACTGTCTGGTCACTGATATTCTTCTAAATATCAGAAAATCGGCTGAATGGATTCGAAAACGGTAAACCTCAACTGTTTAACTCTGGGGGAGTGGTAAAATGAGCCTATTTCCAAAAAAAAGTGGAGTCTGCCTTTAAGTATGATGACCAAATATTTAAACGAACAGGAGAGTGATTGTGAATAAGTTAACTAACAACCAGCACTCACTCATTTGTCCTTTTATATAGCACAAAACGAAGACAAATGGCATATTTTTATTGGACCGAATGGAATGTGGTTTAAAGGAGTTTGATAGTTTTTTTGTTTTTGCATGCACCATTTCTTGATAGCCTTATGTGGAGTTTTTATGAGATGTCAATGGCACATATGAATCTATACTTTCTGTTTCATTTCCTTTTTTGAGCTTGTATCCACTAAGGTCATGTCTGTTGTAAGGCAGTGTGATTCATGAGAGGAGAAAAACAAAGTATGGCTCTCATAGTCCAGACTGGGATGCCTAGTTTGCTGCTGACCCCTGAGGGTGTGTGGGTAGAGTGACAAGGATACGTCATGGTATGTTGGGAGAGTCAGTGTGGGTAGAGTGACAAAGCCTCATCATTCACCCCACACTGACTCTCTCAACATGCCGTTATCCTTCACTTAAGCTGCTGCTAAAGCTACACACAAACACAACAGGCTAAATAATATGGATGTTATCAACAATTAGCAAAACAATTAGAGTATTTTACGCAATGTTGGAAACCTACTTGGTTTATTGTGTGTAATATACAGCAATCGCTTTCAAGGTTAGTGAAGCACTGCTTGGCAGGCACAAGTGATTCACTTGTGTGCTATCCAGGCATTGATAATTTTCAACTGATTGAAAACTGCTTCATTTGAGTTGCCAGATTGGAGAGAATTCTGAATTTATCAAGAATGTATTATTTTTACTGTAACTAACTATTGTGTAATCAGCATAAGTGGTATTTACTCGAAATCAAGGTTCAGCACGTGAGATCTAATGCACTGACATGATGATGTTATTTATTACTTAAACTAATTGGTGTGTATGTGTGTGTGTGTGCAGTGCTGTCACAGCTGTTGGAGCAGCTGCAGAGGTTCCTGAAGATCCTGGATGGAGAGAAGTTGAGTGGAAATGCCACAGTACAGAAGGGCCTCGTGAATGAGCTGCTGCAATCGTACAAGTCTTCCAATGGTACATACATATAAGTATAATGTCTAGACTAACCAAGGCTGGATTCATTTGATCAAACATACAGTAAAAAAAGCTGCATTTTCAACATCATTACTTCAGTCTTCAGTGTCACATGATCCTTCAGAAATTATTCTAATATCCTGATTTGCTGCTCAATAAACATTAAAATTATTATCAGGGCAGTGTTTCTTAATATATATGTTAACCACAGATGAATATGAAGAAATAGAAAAACAACATTTATTTAAATTAGAAATCTTTTGTAACATTATGCATGCCTTCTTTGATCAATTTAAGGCATCCTTGCTAATAAAAGTAATGACTTTTTTCTTTTTAAATGATAGTTTACATAATGATTTTACAGACATTAGTTGGCAATTTCCCACTGATTTGAGGTGTCCGCATTTATTTTTATTTTGTTTTACGTTGAATCAGGTTTTCCACCTGAAAAAGCCTGTGATGTCCCTTCTCTGTTTACTCTTGTCAGTAAAAAAAGGCCCAACAAAAATGACTGTTTCATACATATTTATTCATTTCAGCATACACTTGTAGCACAATTGTTCTCATGGGGAGCAACACAAAACCTATGTGTTGTTTAGAGAATCTGCTCTGTTCTGTCTTATTAAGGAGCCTGTTATTTTGGTCCATCCATTTGCTTCTTTCTTCACACAAGCATGGCTGTAGGCTTTTCATGTTCTGGTCTCGGGCTTGTGCACTTCCTCCCCTGGCTTCAAGCTGTATCATTTTCCAAGGCTGTTTTTATCCTCTAGGGACACTAACTTCCTTTTAGTAGCAGCTTATAAATAACTTTCATTTCCATCCTCCAAATCCCAATCTGTTTTCACTGTACCATCGAAACATGTTTTTGTTTCATCACAGGGTTTTATTTCCCCTTCAAAAACACATCTAAGCTTTGTTACCTGTGGATTGCCACATTTTATCTTTTATGGTTCATTTAGTTCTTCTGAAAAATTGCGAAGATCCCAAAAAAATTCTTAAATGATCTTGTTGCCAAGCAAGCTGTAAATCCATCTCCCACAGGCTGAGACTAAATCAGCACTTTTATTATGATAGAATATGACCTCTCTATGTGTCCCACTGGCCTGCCTTTGATGTGTACAGAAGGAGGGGCACTAGAGATGCCTTTGGACCCTTACACAAGAGAAGTGTGAGACAAAACTCTCACTGTTCTTCTCCATAACAGAAATCTATTACATGTTCAGTAAAATACGTGAGGGATGAAAGCATCCAGAATCTGAAAAAGCATTGAATACGAGAAGAAGGGGGATGAAAAGTCAAAGAAGTCTTTGGCAAGTCCAGGCAAGGTTAAATGAGTGGAGTGAAGAGTATCTTTACTCCAACAAGTTCACATTCAGTGGCCTAAAATGTATTTGGACATTTAGGCCCCACATTTATTGCATAAATAAACTAAAGTTTGACCAATGATAAAATGTACAAATTTACTTTTTGTCTTCAATTCAGTATATGTATTGTTTTATCATTTAAAACCTATAAACTTTGTTTACTGATATTGGTCATTATAATAAAATAAAAAAAACATAATAATTTTTCAAAAATAAAGTAAAAATGGTTGTCTTTGCCATCATCTAAAGCTCACTTAAAGGAATAGTTCACCCAAAAATTAAATTTCTGACATCATTTACTCACCCTAAAGTTGTTCCAAACCTGTATGAATTTCTTTCTTCTGCTGAACACAAACGATGATATATTTTTTGAAAGTGCCCAAATGTTTTTGGGTTCCTGCAGCAAAAACTTTTATACAAAAAAAAAAAAAAAAAAATGTTATGGTTCAAATCCATAATCCAGTCTTAAATATTGGTTATTTTGCAGGAGAGGATGAAGAATACATCTACATGAACAAGGTCATCGTCACAGGTCAAAACCAAGACCGAACAGACAAAGGTGAGTCTATTATATTCTCTATAATTAACTTGTATAACTTTTGCAGGTGTGAGGATGAAAATATCCCCTAACCTGCAAACATGTCTCTCACATATCACAGTGGTTTATCTTGCTGTTTGACAGCGCTGCTGTGAATGTGTCATGTTTAGAGGGGTGATTGGGTTATGGTTGAAGTGTTAAGATCCACCCCATCCCCCACTCACCATTTCCTGTCTGTTTCTCAGTAACTCCTCTCCTCCTCTCGCTCTTTCTGCCAGACCCCCATCTGAGGCCAAGCTGCTTTGTTTAGATTTCACTAAAGAATGAGATTAACAATAAAACCAGACTTAACATTCACATCGCAGTTGTCTACATATCCAGAAGATACATGCATGACTAAACTGCATTGGCACCATTTAAATAAACAAAATTTTAAAAGGCTTATATCAGGAGCAACCCTTTGAGTTTCAGTGTTGTGAAGAGGGACTTTTTACAATGTGATTCCATAATTTCCTGCCCATATGTGAAAATGTCCACAACCTTATAAATCAACCTGATAAATCCATAATAAAAATTATCCTCAATGAGTCACAAATGTGAAACATCATATAAGCTCACGTAGACCAACAGGGAAATGTAAGTGGTGAGAATTGAATTGAATTTCAGTAAAAAGTATCACTTGATGGCGTCCTGACTCCTTGGTGACTCTTAGCCCTCGCTGTGCGGGTTTGGTATTTGCCTTGCGTTCCTACAGCAACCCAGATGTTACCGTTTGGAGAGGAAGTTGAAGGAATGTCTGATGGGACAGCTCTAAGAGACTGCCGCAGGCTAACTATTGATACCAGAACCAAGCCGAACAGCAGAAATATTATGTCTACTTGTTGCTTGCATACACATGCTTATTTTTGATGCACATGATGAACCCTTTGAAATGTATCTAATCTATTCATTAACGGCCACAGTCTGAAAATCTATATGTTTGTCAGACCACAGACCAGAAGCCAATGGAGAACCAGGAAAACACCAGAGCCCACCAGAGCCGCCGCCTCCAAGACCAGTGAGCGACCCTCAGCATCATTTCAACCTCATTTAAACAAAGCATTCACACAAAGAAAAAAAAAATATCCGACATGCTATGCTAAATGTAATCTACTTTTAGGCTTGGGCGATATAGTATATTGACAATAGACTATATAGTCATATTCAGCAGTTTCAATTCATTGAGTCAAAATTCAGTGATTCAATGATTCAATAATCAGTGTTTTAATAATAAGAGATTTGGTTATAATAATAATAATAATTAGCATTATTATTGAGCCATTAGTTTGGTTGAAAGGAGCCATTGCAGAGGAACTAATGGGGATTTGGGCTTGACATTAACTTTTTTGCTCACAAGCCACTGTGGCTAGTGGTTTTCCAAAGTTACTAGCCACTCAGGGCCAGATGTACTAACGCTTTCGCAAAGTGCGCTTAAAACCATGGCGAGATATGTGCGAACAGGACGCACCAAGATGAAAGCGCAGACTGCCTGTCGCGGGAACTGAAAATGGCAAAATGCACTTTTCGTGTTATGCATATGCATTCATGGGATGGTCAAGAGGAAAGTGGGAGTGTCACATAAAGAGATGGGAGGGGAAGCGTAAACTGTGCCCAATTATGTATTCCGCGCTATGTACAGAAAAAGCCAGTGAAAGTGCCTCTATTTTCCGCTGAAAATTCTGCAATATGCCTACTGTTGAAATGGCAGCAGTAATCCGAGCAAGACAAAGACAGGCTAAGGAGACGAGCTGAGAAGATTTTTGCCATAAGAATTACACTTTTTCAGTTGAGTGAAAACTAAATCATTAAGGGTTACAAATTAAGCAGCTACGCGAAATTACAGTTACTGGTGGAAATCAAAGATGACATCAAAGCGTTCACATTCCATACCAGCAGTTGTTAAACTCCCCGCTACATTACAATTATTGGCATCAGGACAGGATGACCAGTGAGAGTTGGAGGCCCATTCAGTTGAACGTTTAAATACACACAATTTACGGTACAGTGGTTGGGGATGGGCGCTGATTACCTGATTAACTGCAGGTTTGGTACATAACACGCTCACTCCGGTTTCACATCAAGCGCTTTCTGCGTCTTGGCCATGGCGCTATTACGTGTTTTTTACGTGTTCGCAAATGTACGTACATCTGGACCTCAGCATTTTCACTGGACAACATTTTTAGAAATTTTAGTTATTTAGTTATGTTACACGGCACTGCTGAAATCCACCCACATTTAGCGGACTCGTGGGCACTAATGACAAGCCCTCATTGTGATATCAGTCCTATATTGAATATTTTCAAAAGTATCAAACATTTTGATGAAGCCTACATACAGTATATAACAGCCCATTCTCACCCCCAAGGCGTCACTTAACTGACGCCTTGGGAAGCATTTGGACATGCTTCAATATCTGACGCTTTAGGCGCCCTTTAGCGTCAGTTAGATGACGCCCTAGGATCGCGTGTACCCTACCCCCACCCCATACCTAAACCTAACCGCGTCCTCTAACTGACGCTTTCCTTTAGCGTCAGTTAGATGACGCCGTAGGATCGCGTCATGTAAGTGACGCTAAAGGGCGCCTAAAACGTCAAATATTGAAGCATGGTCAAAGGTGACGCCTTGGGGTGAGAATGCGTTGTATATAATGTCTTATGTTATATTTCACAGCCCTATCTTTTTTAATCACACTAACTACTACAATGCAAGACACTGTAATCATGATGTCTTTTATTATCTGCCGTCTACTTTCATTTGGGTCTTTTTACTCACCACATATCTGTTATGTATCTGTTTCCCACGCTCAAAAATACTCTGTTTTTGTTTATAAGCCACACACAAGCCACATAACTAGTCCTGCAGTTTGATAATCGGCCTTGACTAGAAACAGTAATCACCTTGAAAGATCACATCATTTTTTTTTTAAGAGAAAAATGTGAGGAATACTTTTTAGCGCCTGTATCAATCCTAGGTTGCTGTGGGAGTTTGCAGTCAGTCAGACATACAGACAGACAGGATGATGGAGAGCATTAAAGCTCTCCAGTGAGAAGACTTTGAACTTCAGACCCATCTGCGGGGTACTGGGTCTGATTAACAGCAGCTGCACAAGCGTTTGGGGAGCTGTTTATAGAGGCTGGAGAACCGCAGTTAGAGCACGGACACGTGTGCATATGTGTAGGAATGAGAGTCGGTAGATGTGTTCACACCTATTAAATAAGTGTTTCTCTCATTTGCCATAGAGTAAACAATTTATTTGAAAAAATGTTTATTTATTGTTTATAATATTAGATTAATTTACCTTCTGTCATACTGTCTTATGCATATATAATGTCACATAGTCTAATACTCACTCTCGCGTGTTCTAAATCTGGCTTTCTTTCTTCTGTGGAACAAAAAAGGAGAAATATTTCAAATGTACCTGCCACTCACTTTGCATTTCCTCATTTTCTTTCATCTTCCTATGGGCTCAATAGAAAAAAAGAAAGGCATGAGGATAAGTAAATAACAACAGCATTTTCACTTTTGGATGTACCACTCTTTTAATTACAATTGCAAATGAAAGAACGGATTGATCCACAATCCCTAAGGTGTATGATTAGCCTCTACCAAATCTTCCACACATTCCACATTGGCATTCGTCTCCAATGCTTCCTCTGCATCACGTTCCTCCTGTGTGTCTTTGTTCTTGGGCTGTCTAAGTAAGCAGGTCCAAAGCGAGCCACTTTTTGGAAAGCCAGTCATCTGTCTGCGAGGCTTCCACTTGTCACCACAAATGACATATTCCAGGGTCAAATTGCGGTTGACGGTGAACGCAGAGTTCCCCCTCACCATAGCTGTGAAGAGGGCACCCCTGCTATTGACGTAATGTCCTGGCATGGCCGTCCATTGACCCGTAGTGATGTTGTAGCAGTCCATGAGGCAGCGCAGGAAGTCATCACATGGGCCGTTCCTCATGACGTACAGGTTGTCGCCATGAGCCACCATGCAGTGTCCGTAACTCTGAGGCTTGACCATAGTGGTGACCAGCGTCCATTCATCATTTTTAGGCGCATATTCATAAATGTCTGTTGTATCTGGAGACTTCCAGAAACATACAAATATCCTACGCCTGGCTACAGCGCTAGCCGGCGAAGCCACAGGACGAGGCGCGTTCTCACAAAATGTCCACGTGCCTGTGGAAACATCACATGCTTCTACCGAGGACATAATCTTTTTGTCGAATTCTCCTCCGATGGCATATAAGTGTCCATCCTGACCCACGAGGGTAAAGTTATACCTGGACTGCTGAGGACCATCAAACACACTCCAAGTGTTGGTTTCTGTGTCATAACAGAAGCTCAAGTCCACAGTTTCCTTGCTAACTCCCCGTACTCCTCCAACGATATACAACCGGTTCCCCGCGATGGCCACCCCGGCCATGGAGGTGCTGGCTTCTGTTGGCAGATCAGTCAAGTATTTCCAAGTACCCGGTTCTTCATCGAGGTAAAACACCGTCCTGTAGCAGTCCTGCAGCAGTTTCATGGACGGGGAATGAGTCGCTAGACAGACATACGATGTTGGTGAAAGCGACTCCACGTAGCAGATCAGCTCCTCTGGGAGTGCCTTGACCATGTCTTGCAGGTCTGTGTAAGCATCGCGGATGAACACCGCAGCGCTCTGAAACAACCTCCACAAGCCGTACACCGAGGCCGTGTGGTACAAAAGAATGCAGTTGTCGGTATCAAGAAGATCTATCAAGTGCTCGGCTAGAATGTCCACTTGGAGGAAAGCTGCACACTCTGCGGCCTCCACGATCTCATCTGGGTCTTGTATAGCAGGGCGCTCACCTCTGGAAACCGCCATGGCTATGAGGAACCCCCTCGCTTTCAGGCCTCCCTGCAGGTGGAACTCGTTCAGCTGGCTGTCCTTCATCCCAGAGCGGAAGAGAGCACGGAAATACTCACAGTTTTGCCCCAGGACGGCCCTGTCTATGGTGAAAATGCTGTCTTCTACCCGTACTCTCAGAAGTCCAGTTGACTCTTCTGCTTGTTCTTCCTCATTTCCGTCTCTGCTCTGACCCAAACTGCAGGGAGGCCCCATAACACCTCTATCCTGCCTGTCCGTACCCAGAACCATAAAGTTAGACTACATTCAAGTTAGTGTTTGTGTTTAGGTTTGACCTGTAAACAGAAGTGTGCTCTCACAGCTACTTGCCGCACTAAAAATAGCGACACTAAAATAGCAAAGAGGCCACAGACTTCAAAATAGTAGTGGAAGATTGTCGGCACTAGTCCTGAAAGCAATTATGTTCCAATATAATGCTGGATTAATGCAATTTAATTTAAGTTGATTTGATTAAGGAATTGAATTAAATAATTCCTTTCCACAATAGACTTGTTTTTATCAGTTTTAGCAGTGTTTTCGTCTGTAATGACTCAGAAACCAATACATGAATGATGACAGTTCAGAGAGCCACTCCTGTTTTTAAATAAAGCTAAAAGATTATTTTCCTTCAGTACCCCTCTTTACCTCAGAAGTGTTTTGGCCCTGGTGAGTTACATTTTTTTCTTGACTGAATTTTTGGCATGGGAGTGGGGGATTTTCCATGTTCTGGGTGTTCTTTTGGTCTCTTGCCCACTTGCATTTTTTTACTTTTTGTCCAAAAGACTGGTGCTTTATCATTATTTATGCCTTAGACTTGAAATCTTTCCTATACGTACATTTACTTTTGTCTTTTCAAGCAGAAGATGGTATGATTTATGGATTAGAATATGAAAACAAGCCTGGGGTGGAGTTCAGTCTCAACGTACAGTACTGAGATTTAAGGATTTTTCTTTTGCTCACAGTGATTTTTACAAGCACTTAGCAGCATATAAACAGACCTCACTGGTGTTACGGTTATTCTGGGACGTGGACATGGTCTTGATCCTCGCCAGTGGCCGGAGAAGAAGCGAAACTGAGTTTGAGGCTTCCCTGAAATGCCCTCTTTTTCTTTTTAAACATGTCTGATGCCTGAGAACTCAGCCCACTTTTTTCCTGTTTCAAAGATTTAATGTTGAGTCTAGAAGTGCGAGGGTGGGATGAAGTGAGAAATGTTGGGGTCGATGTAAGAAATACAATACTTTCTACACAGTTCAATCAGTATCCTCCTCCTGTGTGTGGCTGTTCTTATTTTCCCACCAAAACACTAACCATTGGTCCCTCTTGAATGTGTCTTTTACTCTTGCTCTGCATCACTTATCGCAGCAGAGCTTTTACGTTCGACATCCTGTGTCCTTGACATCCAGTTGTTTATATTTATATGCCTTGCTATAACTAAGCCTGCCTGTTCGCCTCACTTCTGCTTTTGAGAAGCACAAGCACATCAAGTCAAGCAGGAGGTTTCAATCAAACCACTTAGTACAAGTAAAATACAAGCGAAAGGAGATTTTCCCAGCCGCTTGTCTGTAACCTCTTGCCATCATTCAACTTTATGGTTCACAAGCTACCACTAACCCTCATCATCCCTGTGTGTCCATTAGTGTGTTTTTGGTGTGATGAGGAGAGGATCAGTTCTCTGTTTGCCCAGGGGCTGTCATTGCATTGTGGGTATCATCGGGGAATTTAGTAATGTTATGAACAGGCTGATTTGGGAAACCTCATAGCTAGCTCCACACCCTTTTAAAACCATTACTCCTGCAGGCAAACATGTGTGGAATTCCTATTGTAGCTGAGCAGGGCTGAGGTCAGGAAGATATCAGTTTCGAGGAAGAATCCCCCTTCGGTCAGAGAGAAAAGCCCACATGAAAGACAGGTGCAGAATTGACCAGTCAGGCTCATATCTGGGGAGTCATCTATCTGAGTCATTACATGAGAATGTATTAGAGATATTCAGCTCAGATGCAGCATGTGGTTGTGCGTGTTTTGCACGTTATGTTAATTAACTCTGCTGAAAAGATAGATTTGCATGCTGGAACAGGCTGGTTTATGATGGTTTTTGGTGGTCTAGCTAATGGACTAGCATCGTTAAAGCTAATTAGCAAAACTTAGGGAAGCTATTTGACCAGCATTGTGTGGTAATGCTGGCTGACCAAGGATGTTTAGTCTTGTTATTCCCTTCTGAAATTGACAATTTTTTCTTAATACACATTTCTGGTTATTTGTACTTATTGTGAACAAATCATATCTATGTGATTTTTTAAGCGTGCTCTGATCTTGGTCGCCCATTGTTATTAGCCGATAATTGTTTTATATAGTTTCATTGGTGGTCTCTATAAATGCCAATCTGAAAAGCTGTAGATGCCGCAAAATTTGTGAGACAATTGTTTTTATATGCAGCTTAAATTTTAAAAAGAAGACTTTGAGACTTTTCAATGACAATATATTTAGGCTATATATTTTTTTTCAGTTTTTCATATTTTATACTATTTAAAAAAGTGCAATAATGAATATTTATTATTATTATTATTTTAGTTATATATTTAATTGCTCCACCTCTGAACAGTTGATTGTAAACTCACATTCAGGAGACTGCACCCAACTGTAACTCCATTTTTAATTGGAAATACATAAAAATTGCATTATTATTTGATAAATAATGAGAATGTTGACATCACAACTTTCTGTTTTTTCTCAGTGCAACCTTGGGAGGGAGCCCTTTCCTCTTCCACCAGCTCCTGCTCCAGCATCTTTAGTGCCTGAAAGTTACTATGAAGATCCACAACCCTATGACCCTATAAGCATCAATGGTACGTCTCTATTTGGGCCTAAAGGTCCCCTACATGCAAATTATCTTCTATTGGTGATTGTTTTCTTTGATGTTCATGTCAAATCACTATTTAAACTGACTGGGTTACTGATTAGTGACTTCTCATTATTATTCTTGTCGCTCTTGTCCTATGAGAGTGAACCTGTGGACACTGAGTGCTCCGTTTTAGCTTTACTGTGGTACAGAGAAGCCTGCAGGCAGGGAACTCAGAATACAGTGAAGGTCTTTGTTCAGCAGTAACCAGTCCTCTGGCTATGGACACGCAGTGACGGAAGATTGACCGTGAACCCAGGAAATGGGGCCAACAGTGATGGGGCATTTGGCTGGAGGTGCAAAGTTCAGCCCAGCGAGGGGACAATCATTTACAATATTCTTCGGAAAATGACGTCTCATTTTGGTCAAAGGATACAGAGGAATTATTATGCAGCTGTGCTGTGTAATATCAACACACAAGGGATGCGCGGGGCCAAAATCTGAGATGTTTCGGCACTTGTTTCGGCAGCTGATATCAAGCCAAACCACGTGGTTTAGGATTACGTTCTGACAGTGATGAAGCCCTAAACCAATTCAAGCATTACAACCACAAGACACAAATATTTAGTGCAGTCCAAGATGGTAATATTGATTTTATGCAATTCTAACAAACTATTCTCATTCAAAACGCACTTAAAACACTTACTTCTTCCTGTTTCTTTCATGTGACATGTCAGCCACATAAATGTTTCACTATCTGTAGCTTCTCACCTGATTTTTTTCTCTTCCTCCCTTATTGCATTTCCCCTTTTATTGTGCTCCTGTGTTTCTGTAGATTTTGGTTGCTTTGCCATCATCACAGGGGGCAGGAAACGCATAGAAGCTTCAAACACTGTGGTCTATGCTGTGATCACTCGGGGTATCTATCTCTGTTTCTCTCAATGTGCATCAGGAGAGAAAAACAAAGAAACCGCTCTAACTTTTTTGGCTACGGCGAAGCGCACGGCTCTGAGAAAACCTCATTGTTTAATGTATCTAAACTTGAGGCCGCTGACTTTGCACGTTCTTGCTGGCTTTAGAGCATGCCGCACATATGCACTTTCACATTTTTTTAGCCCCTCCCTCTCTCTCTCTCTATATATATATATATATATAATGTAGTATGTACTATATAACATCTGTAAATGTAATAATTATAATAAATAATATGATAATTATATTGCAATAATGTAATATAATACATTTTATTAATGTGCATGTGCAGTGATAAACATATTAATATTATTAATATATATCACGACACTGATCAAAGGTTATAATAAAAATTATTCAACCCCCATTGCAAATCAGGTTTATTGGCAAAAATTTGAACAAATCAAACAAAGGTAATTGAATTCCCTCAACACAACAAATGTTTTAAGTGGTTCCCCTTAAATTCAATTAAAAATGCAACTTTTAATGACTTCTTCAGTCTCATAATTGTTCAACCCCTTCATGGAAAACATTTTTAGTACTTAGTAGAACATAATTTTGCTGTGTTGACCCTCTGCAAATCAGACACCAGCTTCTGGCAGCATGTCTCCGGAATCTTAGCCCAATCCTCATGAGCAATGACCTCCAGTTCAGTAATATTATTGGGTTTGCTCTATTCTCTTACATTAGAAAATACCCCCAAATAAAATAGAGCTCTTTCATTTAAAAAAAACAAATAGGAAAACAAAATAAATTGTCCTTGGAAAACAGAAAGTCACTCTACCCGGGTAGTAAACCAAAACACATTCAAGTTTCCTTATCTGAAATCCTTGGAATCCAATATCCGAGGTCTGGATACGAATCAGTTCAGTCACTCTGCAGAAGAGAATCCAACACAGCTGGCCACACTGCGTCCAAACGTTCCCTCTGTTGAATGTCACTCACTGGGACAGGCTCGCCATCGAAGTCGGTATGGTTTGAAATCAAACTGAATCCAGGATAAAAACCAATCTGTACATAGCAGTACAGAATAGATACAAAACAATTATAATTCTTTATATCTCCTTATATGGTCATTTACTTTTTTCCAATAAACCAGCTAACGTTACACATTTAAAACCATTGACTATGATTATAAGAGAACTGTTCAAATCACTCTACGACTATGCTTCATACAAGTCTGTTTGACTAGAGACCATAGTTAACATTGGCAAAGCCAAAGCATAGTAAAAGATTAAACAATAACATTTATTTTCCTAAATAAATGTATCTTACAGGATTAATGCATTTTTCAATCATAACATGTAATGAACCGTATGCTATTAAACTACTAAACAACCTGAAATTAATGCATTATTTCCCCATTAGTCATTTTACCTCAGTTAAACACATTTTAGAACCCAGTACTTAGCTGAATGCTCAGCTTAGCAAAACACAAAATTACACATTATGAGCTACGTGCAATATAAACATATTACAATACTCTCTAGTCTCATGTCACTCCGATTGGTTTTATTTTAATAGCATGAGATCTTAAAACCTAATATTTTTCACTGATAACATCACCTATTATTAGCTAGCAAGCTAATTAGCAAGCTAATGAGCACATTTAGACAGAAACTCACCGGAGGTTTTGGCAGAAAACAACAGGGTAAAGAACAACAGAAAAATGTCTCCCACAATGCAATCCTCGAGTTACTAGTAAAAAATTATCTTATCCACTCAACTCCTGATTAGAATTGACTAGATGTTACTGTTTTGCAATCTATTTTCGCCACGTGAACTAGAGCTTTTTTCTAATGCAGCTTCATACAAGAGAATCCCCAATGACGAATGTATAAAACAGTGCTAGCGCGCCCTCTACTGGCATCATGTAATTTGACACTCGACTAGTTAACCCTTTAGTGACAGCATATTCTATATGGGTTACATGGGGTTCAAGGCAGGTGACTGTGATGGCCACTGTAGAATCTTAAAATTGGTGGAATTTGCTTGGGATTATTGTTCTGTTGGAAGGTCCAATGACGCAAGCTTCAGCTTCCTCGCAGACGACATGACATTTTCTCCTAGGGTTTCCTGATACTTAGTACAAGTAAAATGCACTAAGATATATCTTGCCTTCTACACGCTGCTGTGGCTTATTTATATGATTTTGAGCAAATTGGAGCCGACTTTTCTTGTGCTTTTGGGTCAGTTGTGGTGTATGTCTTGGAATAATGACATTAAAACCGTATATGCATTTAGTACATGCCTTACTGTGAAAGCTGAAACCTCCGTGCCTGTTATCACCAAGTCTTGCTACAGGTCTTTTGCGGTCACTCGAGGGTTTTTCTGAACCTGCCTTCTCAGAAATCTGTTTTCAGCCATTGATTGCTTCTTTTTTCTGCCCCTCCAGGTAGTGTAACCACTGTTCCTTTAACTTTCAACTTGTGAACTGTGCGCCCAACGGTGTCTGTATTACCTTCGCTATCTTTTTGTATCCTGTCACTTGTTTGTGATGGTTGATACCTTCTTTTAACTTTTTGGACCATTCTTTTGACTTAGCCATATGTCTAACGTGCAGTCAAATGCGACACTCAACAAACCCATAGCACGTTCAGATATTTCATGTGTTCTAGCTCAAGCACACCCGGTGCAACTAATGAAGCCCTTGATTCGTTGCTGTTGTGAGGGATTCTATTCAGGGTGTTGAATCATTTTGAGACTGCAGAAGTCATTCAAGGTTGCATTTGCACTTGAAACATTTGTAGTGTTGAGCTATTCAATTACTTTTATTTGATCTGTTCATTGCAGACTGAAAGATTTTCTTTGGACGCTGAATAATTTCAATAACAACTCTGAATCTGTTTGTTTCTCCTACTCGTCTAGACTAACTTTGTTTAAAAAGCTCATACAATTCAGTTATAAAATTCGTCATCATTCTCTAACCCTCTTGTTGTTCCCTTTATTTTCCACGGAAGACAAATCATTCTGGACTGTAACAACAGAACAGTCATTTTCTGAATGAACTATGTCTTTACGAATCTGATTTTGCAGGGAGAATTTGCAGTGAGTTAGGTTTTTACTGTCATTTGCTCTAGTTCAATGGTAATGAGAATGAACAATTAGATTATCCCTATCCTCTCCTTTTTCTTTATTGACTCGCATTTTTCTCATGTTTCACATATACAGAAGATACAGAGCCAGTGAGCAGTTCATATGAGTCGTATGATGAGGAAGAAGTGACGAAGGGCAAGTCCACAGCACAGCACCAGTGGCCATCTCCTGAGGCATCCATCGAGCTAATGAAGGATGCACGGATCTGTGCCTTCCTCTGGAGGAAGAAGTGGCTCGGCCAGTGGGCTAAACAGCTGTGTGTCATTCGTGAACATCGTCTCCTGGTAGGTGACATCATTGCTTATGTGAGTGACACCCATATCCCACCCATTGCTGATCTATGAGAGGAATATTTACACAAATCCGGGTGTTTGAAATCAAGTGTTTATATTTCTTACTAATACTGGTAGTAATTTACTTCAACATATGCTTTTAACTTTTTTAAATGTCCTTCAAACAGATCATTTAAAGTCAACCTAAAGTAAAATATACCACATTTATTTTCTTAATGAACACTTCTGGTCTACATGTGCATGATTTATTGTTGAAAATGTTTTTTCTAATCTATAGTCAAAATTTAACTTGAAATGACATTCATATTTCCTTCATCCAACAGTCATGGAATCGTTCATGAATCAGTCATTTTCCAGTGAATAAAAACCAAGCTCCATCCCACATTTTGACATCAAAAATTAAAAAAGGGGTTTTAACATTTGACGATTATGCATATGGCAGACACTTTATCTAAAGTGACTTACATTGCATTCAGTGTTTACATTTTACCAATTACCTTTGGTTTTGCTAGCGCCATGCTCTACTATTTGTGCTACAAGAATGTTTTATGTTTACATTTACCACTATATCCACAATTTTAATGAAGTTCTATTACGAATGATATATCATTCTTAAATTTGGCTGTAAAAACCTCCAAAAATTAATCCGATTTTTCTGGCTGGTACTGCATTCAGTGCTACAAAAGCTCAAAGGATCAGACTCCTCTGCTGGATATCAGTTTGCTTGGCTGCAGTGTTATCTACAAAGAGAAGCAAACGAAAAGGAAAGAACACAAGCTGAAAATAACCCCGCTGGGTGGAGAGGCCATTGTCCTGGGACTTCAGAGCAAAGAGCAGGCCGAACAGTGGCTGAAGGTGAGGGGCAATCATCCCATATGGATGAACAATTACCGGTAAAGCAGTGTTTGTTACAGCCTAGTAACTAGTTCCATCTTCTTCAGGTTATTCAGGAAATTAGTCCGAAAAATACTGCGGGATCTGATGTAACCGACTCTCCAACACTCATCTGTACTAAGGTATGACAGATTGCCGTTTATTCCCTGATCCCAATTTTGTCTCTGAGTCAGGTTAAGCTATAAAGTTCTACCTTTTCTGCCAGGGTGAGCTGAGCGAGAGATACTCAGTGGCATCTGAGAGTGGCAGCAGCACAGACAGTCACGCAGAGAACCTGGAAAACAAAGATGGTGAGAGTGGACTGTTTCAGCCCTTCTTTTAGATGCCACTGCTCATTTTAGCTGTACACTGGAAGTGACTTGAAGATGCTCGTAGTGTTGAAGATGAACATCAAATCAGTATGCGACCATACCGCTGTAAGCTTAGTGTCAATAATATTTTTTAATAACTGTGTATACAACTTAATTTTTAAAAGAAACATGCAACAGAAACATGGCTGGCTCAACACACACTTCCAGAGTAGAAGCTTCATTGATTTCTACTATATACCATTCATAAGTTTGGGGTCAATAAGATTTTTTTTTCAATAATTTATTTATTTTATGCATACAATTGATCAAAAATGACAGTAAAGACATTATCATGATGTAAAATAATTCAAATAAATGCTGATTCCTGAAAAACAGTATCGCAGTTTACAAAAAAAAAAAAAAAAATTAAGCAACACAACTGTTTTCAATATTGATATTAAAAAATCTTTCTCCAGGACCAAATCAGCATATTAGAATGATTTTTGAATTAAGGATCACGTGACTCTAAAGCTGAAAATTCAGCTTTATCATCACAGGAATAAATGAAATTTAAAATAAGTAGTTAAATAGAAAACAGTTGTTCTAAATTGTAATAATATGTCACAATATTCCTACCTTTAATTTATTTTTGATCAAAATGTCGCTTTGGTGTATTGTCTGGTTTCTCCTTGTATTCTTAAATGTATACACTATGTAAAAAAAATGAATAAATAAATAAATAAATAAATAATAAAATGTCGCCTTGGTGAGCATAAGAGACTTCTTTCATAAACATTAAAACATCATATAACCCCAAACTTTTGAACAAAATACAGTATTTTAAATACCAGATTATAATATACAGTATAATCATATATATAATATTTACCTTTTAATTGTCATTTTGACTGTAGTTAAGAAGAAATACGGCAAGTTTAGTAACCTTATGAACATTGGTAAAAAGAAGATTTCCTCTTTGGAAAGTCCAGAGAAGTCTGTGGATCCGTCAGGTAACAAACCATCACAATATTTATTTGGCCAGCTTTTAAACTCCCTCACAGTCTAAAATGTTCATGTTTATTACTCTTTTTCCAGGCTACCTTAATGTCCTGGTGAACGCTCATTGGAGAAGCCGGTGGTGCTCAGTGAAGGACAGGCAGCTTTGGATCTACACTGACAAAAGCAGGAGCAAAGTGTCCCAGCAGCCACTGTCTCTCGAGGGGTGCATGGTTCTGCCAGACCCCAGCCCTGAACACCTGTACTCATTCCGCATCCAAATGGATGGAGAGGAGCTTGCAATCCTAGAAGTGAGTAGAGATCAATGATGTTCATTACTAAAGTCCTGCATAGCAAGACTTGTGCAGCTTGTTCTGCCCACTGACAGGAAGTGATCATCTGACCGACATGTAAACATCCAACCACGGTTCATTTTGTTTCCATAATGCATTTTAGAGATCTGAAAGAGATGATACCACAACAACAGACTGTGGAAAATAAGTCTATAATAGCACAACAACAAACACATTGAAGTATGACACAGCAACATCATACAGTCAGTGATATAAAGATGCATTAGTGAATTTCACAGACATTAAACAGAATATACAGTTCTAGCTTGCTTAAGTATCTCAAACAAAACTGAATATCTTCCAAAGTCCTTAGCAAACCTTGGCAAATTCTGTGATTGCTTCTTCCTCGCGAGTGCTCTTATTTATACTGCAAGTACTGTAGCTTGTGAGTGCTTTGCATTTTTTTGTGCAATACTCATTCAGAAAATGAACTGTTGGCAATCGGTGGTGTATAACAGATCTGTACAGAAGAAATATTTGTTCCAGTTAGAGCTGGACCAGGAAGCTGCAGAAAACCGGAAGTTCCAAGGTCACAGATTAGTAATCCTTTACACTCTCATGATGAGCCACTGTTGGCATCAGTCCATTAGTCTGAATGAGATTTCTGAGATGTGTGAAATTTCCCTCTCCATTTAGTTCTGGTGTCTACAACTTTGCAATCTTCACAGCTACAGTGTATGCTACACAAATAATGTGGCCTATGCTTCTATGGCAAGCCGTTTTAGCTTTTATTCATTTCCAGGATATGAATTCTTGATATCAACAGTTACATTTTTGATATCAAGAATTCAATTGTTAATATCAAAAATGTAATTCTTGATATCAACAATTGTATTTTCACTAGTGAAATGTCACCATTGGCTGCCATTCAAAACCAATTGTTGATATCAAAAACTGATTTCTTGAACTAGGAAACTTCAATTTCACATATCAGAAATACAATTATTACTAGTAAAACCCTTTATTTTTGGTATCAAGAATTCAATTGTTACTAGTTGAAATCCACAATTGAATTGCTTCTAGTAACAATGTTCATTTTTTATATCAATAATTAAATTTTTACTAGTGACAATGTTAATTGTTACTAGTCAGAAAGCCATTTTAGATATCTGAAATAACACTGATATCAGAAATACATTTTCAGATATCAAAAATGATCATTTTTACTAGTACCAATTGAATTGTTGATATCAAGAATAGACATTTCAGCTAGTGACAATTTAATTATTGATATCAGGAATTCACATTTTACTAGTAACGATGTAATTATTGATATCAAAAATGACATTTCTACTAGTAAAAAATCAATTCCTGATATCAACAATTTATTTTGAATGGCAGCCTATGGTGACATTTCACTAGTGAAAATATAATTACAGATATCAACACTTACATTTTTTGATATCAAGAATTCAACAGTTGATATCAACTATTCAGTTGTTGATATTAACAATTAAATTGTTGATATCAAAAAATGTAATTGTTGATATCAAGAATTCATATCCTGGAAATGAATAAAAGCTAAAACCTCTTGCCATACGTTCAAAAGTTCGAAGCGGTATGATTTTGAATGTTTTTAATTTAAGTCTCTTAGGCATACCAAAGATGTATTTATTTGATAAAATATGCAGAAAAAAAGAGTAATATTGTGAAATATTACAATGTAAGATGTCAGTGATGACAGATTTTCAGCAGCCAGCACTCCAGTCTTCAGTGTCACATGGTATGGTAGTGTATTTGCATTTCTTTGTGTACCTATTTTGGGTCACAGCTCATAAAGTTATCCCGCCTTCATTCTTGAGTTGTTTATCATCAGTTTTCAGTAAGACACATCTCGGTAAACAAAGACAGAGGGGACAGAATTACTGCATGGGATAGTGAGGATTCAATATAAACTTCAACGTGACTGCCATCTTCAGGCCAGAATGAAGTCAATAGCAGACTTCCTATTTGCGCTTGTTAAAGTATGTGAATATCTCAGCAGGGTATTGATGATTAAATATCCTCCTTTTTCCTTCCAGGCTAAATCCTCCGCTGATATGGGCCACTGGCTCGGGCTCATACTGTCACAAACCGGCACTAAAACAGAGCCGGAAGATCTCACCTACGACTATGTGAACTCAGAGAGAATATGCAGTATTGTCAACGCTGCCAAGACATCCATGTAGTAAGTTACTTCCTGCACATCAGTAGTTAAATTAACATACACTATTAACATACACTAAACCTGCATGGGTTTCTTTTTATGGTGCACAAAAGGAGAAAATTTGAACTATATCCTATGGCCTATGAATATCCAAAATTACAAAAAATCACTATAAATGTACCATAAAAGTGGCCAATGTGACTTGTGATCTTATGATAGATTTGTTTGCTTTTTGGAGATTTTTAAGCCTGATTTGTGTGTTTGTGTCAGTTTAATGCAGAGGAGGTACTCAGAGCCCAACACATACACAGACAGCCCTCCGTCAGACCCCTATACCTGTGATGACATATACGATGATGTGGCATCCACAGAGAATGAACAGGAGGTGAGTGAAACACACTTGCAATGATTTTGTCATAAATCTACACATCCCACTTTATTGCAGCTGTGTTTATTCGGAGTCATAGACTCAGGACAGTCGAAGATTCACTTAGCAGTGGGCCAGAAATAATACGAGTGGCAGGAAGTCATTGCTGTGACAGTGTTGTGTTTTTGTAACCCTGCAGGCCATCCAAATTCAATAATCTCTCTCTGATACTGTTCCTCTCTCCTGATGTAGGAGGTTCAAGAAGTTCAGAATGGCAGCGAGGAGGGAACAGCAAGCGCTGAAGAGAACGGGAAGGAGAGAGTCTATCTGGATCTGATCCCGGTTCGCTCCTTCCTGCACTTGAGCTCGGGCAGTGTGTCACCCCAGATGTCCAACACCGTACAGACAGAGCTCAGTCCCTCAGCTGCTCCAGAACATGATCAGCTACAGCCTCAAGAGGTTAAGATTAGATGCAATGGAAATTCACCCTTGTTATTTTCTAAATGCATGTTCATAGATCTAGTTGAAAATGAAAAAATCCATGTATGTTTCTTTTTTTTTAACACTGGATCTTCCTGTTAAAATGACAGACTTCACTCTGATGAGATATTGCAAGACATCACTAATCATTTATATTCCGCCCCTGCAAGCCCACATCTCAAAATACAAGAAACAGCCAATGCTTAGAAACAAGTTTCTGTCCTACATCTTTCTTCATCAATAACCTGTTACACTCAGATGAATGTCACAATATAGATGAAAACATTTGTCGCGACTCTTTTTTACTAAGAATTATAAATTGGATTCTAATGTTACCAAGGCCACAGTAGCACAATGTTTGCTGAATGTTTGTCTCTTCTAAAACAGTCTGAATATGAAACTTCACTACCAAGCAGCACAGAGATCCTGGACCCTACACCTGGAGCCCCAAGAGTGGACGCGGATCCCTCTCCAGCCCCCAACCTGTGCGTCCAGCCTCAAAAAATCAGTTTCCTTAGTCAGCAAAACCAAAAGAGGGCCTCTTTGTCACACCAAACCCAAACCCTACCCCAGATGCCCCAGAGTCCTCCCACCTCCAGAGGAAGAGCCGCCAGCGCGGACAGACTTCTCGATAGGCTTAAGTTCTCTCCAGCAGGTGAGAGCCTTCAGCTGTAATGCAGACCTACAAAAATGTTATTGATTTTTCCCAACCATGCACGCAAGTGAGTATACACTCATCTAAAGGATTATTAGGAACACCACACTAATACTGTGTTTGACCCCCTTTTGCCTTCAGAACTGCCTTAATTCTACGTGGCATTGATTCAACAAGGTGCTGAAAGCGTTCTTTAGAAATGTTGGCCCATATTGATAGGATAGCATCTTGATGTTGATGGAGATTTGTGGGATGCACATCCAAAGCACGAAGCTCCCGTTCCACTACATCCCAAAGATGCTCTATTGGGTTGAGATCTGGTGACTGTGGGGGCCATTTTAGTACAGTGAACTCATTGTCGTGTTCAAGTAACCAATTTGAAATGATTCGAGCTTTGTGACATGGTGCATTATCCTGTTGGAAGTAGCCATCTGAGGATGGGTACATGATGGCCATAAAGGGATGGACATGGTCAGAAACAATGCTCAGGTAGGCCCAATTGGCACTAAGGGGCCTAAAGTGTGCCAAGAAAACATCCCCCACACCATTACACCTCCACCACCAGCCTGCACAGTGGTAACAAGGCATGATGGATCCACGTTCTCATTCTGTTTACGCCAAATACTGACTCTACCATCTGAATGTCTCAACAGAAATCGAGACTCATCAGACCAGGCAACATTTTTCCATTCTTCAACTGTCCAATTTTGGAGAGCTCCTGCAAATTATAGCCTCTTTTTCCTATTTGTAGAGGAGATGAGTGGTACCCGGTGGGGTCTTCTGCTGTTGTAGCCCATCCGCCTCAAGGTTGTGCGTGTTGTGGCTTCACAAATGCTTTTCTGCACACCTCGGTTTTAACGAGTGTTTATTTCATTCAAAGTTGCTCTTCTATCAGCTTGAATCAGTCGGCCCATTCTCCTCTGACCTCTAGCATCAACAAGGCATTTTCACCCACAGGACTGCCACATACTGGATGTTTTTCCCTTTTTCACACCATTTTTTTGTAAACCCTAGAAATGGTTGTACATGAAAATCCCAGTAACTGAGCAGATTGTGAAATACTCAGACCGGCCCGTCTGGCACCAACAACCATGCCACGCTCAAAATTGCTCAAATCACCTTTCTTTCCCATCCTGAAATTCAGGTTGGAGTTCAGGAGATTGTCTTAACCAGGATCACACCACTAAATGCATTGAAGCAACTTCCATGTGATTGGTTGATTAGATCATTTCATTAATGATGAATTGAACAGGTGTTCTTAATAATCCTTTAGGTGAGTGTACAAGCAGAATGTGAATGTAGGTCATGACTCCTACATGCTCCTCTTGTTTAGCTGCTCCAGGGTCGGTTGAGGTGAAATTAGGGAAGAACAGGACGGAGGCCGACGTGAGACGTTACACCGACGATAGAGACCGGCTGGAGCGAGAGAGGGAGGAGGTTAAAAACATTCTGGCCACACTGAGGAAAGATAGACGAGAGGTGAAAGAAGAGCTAAACTCCTGTCAAGGTACTGCAGTGACACCTAATGGTCATGTTAGAAAACACTCATGTTAAAGCAATAGTTCACTAAAAAAAAAATAGTTTAGTCATTTTTTATCAACCCTTATGTTGTTCTAACTTTGGATTATTTTCATGCCGGTAATGTTTGCTAATTTTATAAAACTTGATATACTTTTATTTAGTGCTGAGATACTGTCAGTGTGCATGTTAAATGCTAAAAAATGTTTTTGATTATAACTTTCATAGACCCCACCCAGCAGGCCTCTCTGGAGGCTCGTCTGAAGCAGATGGAGGAGACGTGTCGTGAGGCAGAGCGTCGACGAGTGGAGGTGGAGCTTAGCTTGATGGAGGTGAAGGAGAGTTTAAGAAAAGTGGAAGCTGGACCTTTTACACTGGGCACCACGGTAGACAGCAGTGTACTGGAAACTTTAACGGTTAGTCTCATGACAACAGAATTAAGTTTTTGTCTGACTCTTTTCATGCACTCTGTGTAGGGGAATGTAATAATAAACGTTGTTTTTAATTATGTATTATACATAATTAATTATGTATTATACTTTTTTAATGAATTTAGCTACACCAAGAATGCATTACTTAATGAAAAGTGACTGTAAAGATTTATATTTATATTTCAAACTTCTTTTACAGTTTCTATTAATCAAAGAATCCTGAAAAAGATTAAGTTTAAAATGTTTCTTGAGCGCCAAAGATCATGTGACACTGAAGACTAGAGTAACGTTGCTGAAAATTCAGCTTTACCATTACATGAATAAATTAAATTTTAAAAGATATTAACATAGAAGACATTTATTTAGAATTGTAATAATAATTCACAATTTTACTGTTTTTACTGCATTTCTGATCAAATAAATGCAGCTCTGGTGAGCATAAGAAGCCTCTTTCAAAAACATTAAAAAGTCTTGACCTGTTCCAAAACCAAGTGATTTGCAAACCTAGACATAAGCACTTTCAGCACAATTGTGGTACAATTCAGGATAGTTAAGAACTCAATCCCAATGTGTTTCTGTTTTGTTTTGTACCCTGTATTTTAACTACGAGAGCTGACTTGTATTGTTTTGTTTGTAGCCCAAGATGGCACCTGTCGCCAGTCCTGCTCCAAATACAAATACACCCACCAACAATGGAGATTCACCTGTAAACTGTGCCACAGCGATGAAGAACAGACCCGTGTCCATCATGGCACCCAACAAAGGAAACGTTCTGCAGAAGGCCAAGGTCAGAGTCCATTCAGGCATCCATAGTTCTGACAGAGAGCTTAGCTTTTTTATGATGACTTTTTGATAATCTTACAATCTTACAACTTTATATAAAAAAAAAAAAACAACATTTCTCAGTCAAAGCAACTGTACACAACAGAAAAGTTCTAATGCCATGGTTTTTGGACATATACCACCATGGTAATCCCATGGATTAATTCAAAGTACAGTGAAGTAGCATGCAAATGACAGTGAGTTTGGGATCAAAATATGTTTTGAAAAAAAATCTCTTATACTCTCCAAAATTGTGTTGTGAAATATTGCTATTAAAGTAACATATATATGTATATATATATATATACATATACATTACTATAAAAAATATGTATTTTAAAATGTAATGTATACTGTGATGGCGAAGCTGAATTTTCTTAAGTCATGTGATTCTTCAAAAACCGCTCTAATATGATTTGCTGCTCAATAAACATTTATTTTCATTATTTTCAATTTTTGTTTAACAATATGTTCCTGATTGTTATTGCCTGAGCTGATGTCATTCTTCTTCTGCAGGAATGGGAGAAAAAATCCACAACCTAATAGATGGGAACAGCGAGTGCAAAAAGACTTTTTAGCCAAAGCTCAAAGGACTGCTAAGGCAAATGCTTCAGGCAGGGAGGGGAAGAGGGTGTGTCCAATTCCCTGCAGGCTCCGCCCCTCTGATACATCACCCTCCACTCGTCCCTGCTTCTCTGCTATCAGAGGCTGAGATTGCACTGGGTACATCAGGCAGCTGATCCAAGACAATATTTTCTGTTCCCTGCCAAAAAAACGCCACTGGACAACAATAGATTTTAAATCTATTCGAGTCATTTAATGTAAGAGAAAGGAGGAGAATGATAGAAACTACTCTTCCAGTGGTGTGCACAGTATGTGAAGGATGTTTCACACGCTTGAGAAGAGACCAAAAAGGAGTTTAGGAGTGCTTCAGAACCACTATTTTTATATTGTCATTTATATTAGATTCAAGACTTTAAATCAGCCATTTGGTACATTGTAGCTTGGTTCATGTATGCTGGTAACCAAGATGTGAATATATATAACATATCCGTTCAGTGTTTTTCGGTTTGTTACTGTACGCTAGCTGAAACATGCACTTTTTATTCAAATAAAAGTTTGTTCTGCAAACTATTCATGCAAACGGTATCCTGCTTTGAAATTGCAGAAAACAAAACTCAGTCCCCCCAGTAGGTGGAACCAAAAACAATAGAAAGTATTTGAGTTAGACAAGGTTCTGGAAAAAAAAAAAAATTAATAGCTTTACAATAGACAAACGCATCACTGTAACTAATGATATGTAAAAAAAATAAATATGGTCAAAAACATAAGCCTCTAACATGAGGCTTTCTGTTACACAAGGATTTTTCATTATGACAGATCACAAGCAAGTCCAAATCTCAGACAGAAAACATGTTCATAAAAGGTCTTCAGTGCTGAATAATCAACACAAACAGCATCAGAACCTCTTAACTCTTTCCCTGCCAGCATTTTAAAAAATTTGCCAGCCACCACCAGAATTGATCATTTTCACAAAATGTTCATGGCCCCAAGAATATTTTGTTGTATGGATATCCGAGCATGCAATGAACAGCCTCCACAAAACAAAAAACATTTTATCACTTGTTTCTGCTTCTTTTTGCCTGATTCTTTAATCTCTTAGAAGATGTGTAATAGTATCCCCTACTGTATTGGAGAAACATTGTGTCATAAATGATGGACATTTCCATTAATGGCAGGGAAAGAGTTAAGATTAACTAAATTTAAAAAATCCTAATTTTTAAGGCACTAAACGCATTTACAAAATTCATGAAATAGATACCTGTGGAGTGTCGTCTGGATTGCGTGTTCACCACCAGAGTGAATTGTAGAATGAATGTTAACCCATTGCTGAGCTGGGTCTTTGTGTGTGTAGTGTGCGTTGTTCATCTGTGCTGTGTTCGGGACGCATGTCTCTTGCGGAGCTCCTTATAGCGCTGCAGCAGCTCTTTTTCACTCTTGTGCTGACGGCGCCTCAGGCCTGCAGGTTTAGGGAGATCTCCTCTGCTTGGTGGATCTCTGCTTCCTGAAAAAAAAAACAAGTTCACAAAAATACATAAATCAGAACACCTAAATATAACCTGTCAACCGTCCATTCTGAAAACACCAAAATTATGACCGTCAAGCGGGCACAGAAAAATGAATAAAACATTCTGACAACATAAGCTGATGTGTGAATCCGTTTTAATTTGTTATAAGATGGGTTAAATAACCAAGATTTGCTTTGCAAAAAAATCTCAAATCTTAATCACATTTTTGTCTTACATATTTGTAATTATTTGTCTTACATTTTGGTATTATTTTTCTTACTCTAAAGGAAATATATATAAATACCCAGTTGGGGTAAGAAAAATAAATAGTGTATATATGATATACTGAATAAATATACCTATTTTTATATTTATATACTGTATATATATATATATATATATATATATATATATATATATATATGGTATAAACTTAAAGTTTTAGAAGTTTTTTTCGAAAGTTATTTATATATATATATATATATATATATATATATATATATTAATTGTGTGTATTTACTTAGGTTTTAATAAAAAAAAACTAAATAAGGTGACTAAAAATATTAATAATAATATAGGGTGAAAAAATACCTACTTGTCAACAGGAAAACGAGACTATCCATTACTAGTACAAAAGCCTAATTAGTAGTTAATGGTACTGACGTGTTTCGCAGTGTGGACCCCTCCACCCACGGCATTCACAGCGATAGCTGCCATTGAGAAGCACACAAACGCCATCATTCATACAGGGGTTGGGACTGCACAGATGAACAGGTTTCTTCACGTCTGTAGAAAGCGAGTAACAGTAGAATATAAATCCATCATAGATGAATAAATGTTACCAAAGGAGAATATTTGTGCTGTCGTACCTGCACACACCATCTGTACCAGCACATCCTCAGAGTATTTCAGGTCATCATATGAAGGTACAGAGATCATGTGGTCCTCAGAGCCGGCGATGCGGATGAGGACCTCTTGCTGTAAGCTCCCGATGCCAATCACAAACACTGCCACTCCGCTATCACGGATCTTCTGGGCGGGCACCACTGCATCCTCCACACCTGTCCCATTAGTCAGCACCACCACAGCCTTGTTGACTCCAGGTCGCGCTCCTTTCCCCACTGTCAGGCTTTGGGAGAGCACATGGAGCAGGGCTGAACCTGTAGAGGCCTTCCCACCCAGAAAAGCAGCATCTCCCACTGCCCTCAGCACAGCAGAGCCCGAGTCATACTTGTCCAGGTCAAAGACTGTGACGGGCCGCCTACCATAAACCACCAGTCCCACCTGAGCCACATCTCGATTGATGTCAAACTGCACTGAGGTGCTCCGAACAAAGTCTTGAAAGTGGACGAAATTGTCCTTGCCTACAGCACTGGAGGCGTCCAGCACAAAAACAAGGTCCAAAGCTTGACCCAGACAGCCTAACAAAGACAAAAGGCATTAGTATAACAGTAAAAAAATAAACAAATAATATATATATATATATAAAATAATAATATATAATTAAATTTAATACATAACACTAAATTTAGTTATTGGGAGAACGCAATGGTTTTGTGAGTGAAAGCAATATATATATATATATATATATATATTGCTTTATATATATAATATATAATAATAATTATATATATATATATATATTATATATTATATATATATAAAGCATTTATATATATATATATATATATATATATATTGCTTTCACTCACAAAACCATTGCATTCTCCCAATTACTAAATTTAGTGTTCAAGCAGGTCAATCTAGAGAGACATTACTGATTATGAATGAATTATAAACAATCATATTCTTTTGAGATTATTCTTGGACTCTGGAAGTGTATTGTTGATATCTTGTTAGGGTTTATGTTTATTTTGTAATTTTTGTCAGGAGTATATTTTGATTAAGACTGAAGAATTATCATAACCATTCACATTTTTATCTTCGTTAGTGCTGAGGAAATAGAAAAAAAGACGCAATTTTCATAACTTTGGAAACACATCATCACAGTCTGTGAAAAGAGTCCACTAATGTAAGGAAATAATGACTGACTATTATTAGAGGTGAACTATTCCTTGAGGTGCAACGATCTACGTGTGGACTTTACAGTTGTGTCAATGAAGAATGGTTCAGATCTGTACCCTGGGTGTCGACACTGCAAATTTTGGCTCTCAGTTCTGGGATCTTAGAGGTCAATCTGTCGGGTGACTGGTATGTGATGGTGCGCTGGGGGTTTCCTGTTATGTTGTTTATTTCAGCCCTCATCCCTTCTGGTGCTACACCGATGATGAAGATCTCCCTGTCCCGTGCATACTTCGCTGGCTCCACCACAGGGTCCGCCGAGGGCGTCCCCGTGAGCAGCACTACCACTCGCGGCAGGTCGTCCTGAACATCGGCAAACACGGGTGCGCTCTGGAAGCCATTGCGTGTGATGTAGCGAAGAGCGTTTCCAGCCTTGGCCTGGCCACCACGGTACTGCATGCGCTCGACGGCCTGGATCAGCTTCGCCGGGTCTCGGTGCTCCCCAATTTTGGCTTCGATTTTCACGTCGCTGCTATACTGGGCCAACCCCATCCTTACAGGGGTGTCAGAGCTCAGTACAGCCTGCATGAAATGCTTTAAGAAAGACTTGAAGCGCAAGAAACCCTCTAGTGTAAGAGAAGAGGAGCCCTCGACCAGGAAGAGCACATCCAGGGAGCAGTCGAAACTCAGAACTGGAGCTGGAAAAAGAGAGACGGTTAAGAGCCGCTTTGATTGACACTTTAAGATTACATTTTCAGATTAAAGAACATGCTTAACATTCCACTTCTGCATTATCTTGTGTTTATTTTAGACTTTAGTTAGGCTCATGTGAGGCTCTTCTTTACCCATTAACACGTACAAAAATGCATTTAAGGAGAGCATAAACAAACAAAAAGATCCATCTTTCAATCTGCAGGTTAAGTGGGGTCATTTGATCTAACCCCTGCCTGTGATGTCATTCACACTGTCTGACAGCAGGAGGTTGCGCTTGTCATCATGTTCTGATTGGCCGGAGGATTCTATGTCAGTGTTACAATGGAACTCGTGGAGGCTGATGACAGATTCTTGGAATCTTATTTAGGAAACTATACCAGCCCCATCTACACTGTAAAAAAATATTGATGGTTTAACTTAAAAAAGTAAGTAACCTGGTTGCCTTCAAATTTTAAGTTCATTGAACTGGAAAAAGTGAGTTAATACAATGAAGGAGAATGATTTAATCATCAGAAACTCAAAATTATATGTTATCTGAACTAAATAAATAATTTAAGTTGATTTGACAAAAGAAAAAATGTTGTGATTACTGCACTGTAAACAAAAATATTGTTGGTTTAACTTAAAAAAGTAAGTAACCTGGGTTGCCTTAAAATTTTAAGTTGATTGAACTGGAAAAAGTGAGTTAATACAATGAAGGAGATTAATTGAATCATCAGAAACTCAAAATAATAAGTTATCTCAACTAAATAAATTATTATAAAGTTGATTTGACAAAAGAAAATATGCTGTGATAACAAATCTTGAAAATATTTTTTACAGTGTAGAAAACCCTCACTAAAACATTTATTCAGCTCTCGTTGTCTGAGTAGAGCAGCTAACATAATCATCATCAACATCTTCTGTTTGTCCAGTTGCCCTCTGTTAGGTTTTCAGGTCTATTGCATCACAGACTAATAGTTTTGAGAACAGTTTTTACCCAAGAGCCATCAGAGAACTACTTGGTTACTCACGTAACCTCAGTTCCCTGAGTTAGGGAACGAAGTATTGCTTAGCTACTGTATACGCAGTGGGAAAACTCCTTTTCTTCGATGTGCGACCAATGAGCCCATCAAGTCCCTGAATTCGCCATTATAGCAGGTTTATACGACTGAAGCGACAACTATCCAGTTAAAACAGTGTGACCGGCTACGCAATACTTCGTTCCCTAACTCAGAGGTTACGTGAGTAACCAAAAAGTTCTCTTTCGAATGGTCACTTCATATTGCGTAGCTATACGCAGTGGGAATGCTATGTAAAACACTGCACCAAGTAACTGGTTGCCACTGAAAATCAGGATCCTTGAGCATACAGAACAAGCCATAACCCACATAATTATGTATATACCAGACCAGACCCCGTCAGGTCTAGGAGAATGCTTCAGTAATCACAACATATCATACCCATAAACCCCAACACTGTCAAGGTCATTAGAATATGACAACACCACCGGCCTAAGCGGGTTTATAACGTGAAAATATAACCGGCAAAAAGCGGGTTATATATATGTGAATGTTGTTGTGAACAGTAACAATTAATGATAAGACCGGACACTGTCGGGCCCTAATTATACCGAAAGCACCCTCGCCTGCAGGGAAGCAGCCTGTTTTTGTTGTGTACATTGATTCTTTGGCAATATTGTATGCATTTCAATAATGCCAACGATAAATTTGCTGGTTGCATTTCATGTCACAAGGCAACACATTTAGATGGAAACAGAGTGATATTATTAGCTCATAATTAGAGCATCCCTTTTATCTGAAGAACATAAGACCTCCAAGGTATATTTCAGTAATGACCTAGCCCGAAAGCTGACCCCCACTGTAACGTGAAACCATGAGCTTTTTGTGACAACTCCCACACATGCAGACAATCCACCCAAACCGACCAAAACAAAATACACACAGTGAGACAGGCACAGCCCTTTACTCACTAAGGAGTGTGGGAAGAGAGGCACATGAATGTGAACTCACCACAATCGGGGTCACTGCCGTAGCCTGTGGGACACTCACAGTGGTATTTATCCAGTCCCTCAGATATACACGTCCCCCCGTTCTGACAGGGCTGAGAGTCACATGGTTCTGAAGGGAGAGAGAATCATTTCTATGAATCAAATTCAGATGATTATGGATATAAATATTCATTATTAAGTAGTCTGATTCTTGGGTCTTACCTGCACAGACAGTTCGGTGACAGACAACGGGGTGCTGCCTGTAAACTTTGTTATACCTGTAAAACAATCCACTTTCACTCCACACATCACTTTCACTCCTTTATGTTTCACTCAAAATTAATAATACTAAACTATATTATTATTATTTATTTATTATCCGTGTTTATTTGAGCTTAAATTAATAATAATAGTGCTATATTATTTTTGGGTCAAAGTTTCTGTAAAACAATGTGAAACCAGTTTCACATTTCTGTTAATGAACTCCTTTATGTTTCACCTCAGTCCACGAAACCTCAAAATGGTTAATAATAATCATAATTATTTCATATATACAGTATATATACACCTTATTATATTTATATTATGTATTAGTGCTGACAAATCAACTAAGTGCATCTGATTTATAATATATATATATATATATATATATATATATTGTCAAGGTTTCGACAACCAGTTTCGTTCCATACATTTCTGTTAATGATCTGCTTTATGTTTCACCTCAGGCTATGAAATTTCAGTGAGACTGCGATGCTTCAAAAGGACAAAAACACACACAATATGATACAATACAAACATAACCACAGACCTGAGGCATCTCTTTGACTGTATAATGGTGAGACAGAGAGTACATTAAGGTCATTTTGACTCGCCATAGCTATGAATGAATAAAGTGTTTTTTAGACTTTATAATAGCCAAAAGCATCTCAAGATCCATGCGTTTTGTTCATTCCATGTCATTTACCTGTAATGAGGGCAGAGGGATGTGTATGGTGAGTATCCCTTGGACCCTTTCCAGCACATGAAGTTTCCTTGAAGCTCTTTTACCGTCTCCAGGGTTTTCTGCACACATGGGTAAGACTCCACCTTACAGCCTGCAGATATCACAGTGCAGGAAACATCACTTGCTGTTCATAAAGGCACTGTTGATTGAGTCACAGGTGAGGTTTTTTTTACCTGAAGGAACGGCAGTGCAGACGGAGGAGGTGGTGAGGCTGGTGAATATTCCATTAACAGCATCACTGAAGTGCTCCGCGAAGAACACATGAGCATCCGATGGGCTGCTCGCCAGTTCATGGAGCTCTTCCCACCTTACAAGAGAAAGACAATTTTCTTTAAAGCTCTAAACAACAAAGAGATAAACATTCGCCTAATGGAACTTTTTTTTCTGCCTTTTTTATTAATACCGGTATCTGCCAGGCAGTAGGGACATTATACGTACATGATATATAAAAAATATAATTTTTTATGTTGTGGAAAGAAGTGTCTTATGCTCTCACTGTATTTATTTGATCAAAAAATATTGTGAAATATTATTACAATTTAAAATAATTTTTCAATTTGAATGTGTTTACTCCAGTCTTCAGCGTCACATGATCCTTCAGAAGTTCTTCTAATATGCTGATTTGGTGCTCAAAAAAATTTCATAGTATTATCAATGTTGTTTTTCAGGATTCTTTGAGAGAATAGAAAGCTCAAACGAACAGCATTTATTTTAAATATAAATCATTTGTAACATTATAAAGGTATTAACTGTCACTTTTCATCACCTACTTGCTGAATAAAAGTATTTTTCTATAAATAAAAACAAATCTTGATGACCTCAGCCGAGGAACTTTTAAACAGTAGCGTAGATCACAGTCAATTCCAGATTTACATGACACATGGTGAAATAAAATTCTGCCGATATATTTTGAGCAGACAGAGCATATGGTGCTGCAAGAGCTCTGAGGGGTTTCATTCATCCAAACATCCCAGTAATCCACCCAAACTCAACACTGATAGACTCCCAGCTGTTAGAAATGCCAGTTAAGGTGAGTTTATCCACTAAGATTCTCTCTTCCTGCACCTGTTGGAAGCTGCCATAAAGCCTCAAAGTAAAGAGAGCAGAGGAATTACACTATCAGCAGCCTAACCAACAGTAACACCACACATCCAGGCTGTCAGCAGCCTTTTAGTGTGAAATAACACACACCTGTCAGTGTGTCAGAGCTGGCAGCACATCAGTTCACTGACTAATAGAGATGAACACATTTCAAGTATGAGCACACCTGTCCCTGAAAAATGTTTCAAAACAATCACTTTTTCATTTTATGAAATTTCTTTAAAAAAATGTTTTAATTCCTATAGCATTCTTCACCATACCTTAAAGTGCCATGCATAGGAAAATACTACGGTACATCAATATGGTAATCTCTCAGCACCATGGTATATATAAAGTATATTACACATTACTTTCTGATGGAATACTGTACAATGTTGCTGACAGAGTGTATTACGGAGTGTATTATTATTATTATTAAGGACACAAAAATAAATTTAAAGTGATAAAATATTTTACCCAAATAAAAAATATATAAAAAAGACTGCTGTTGTGACATTATTTTCATGAAAAGTCCATAATACATAACCATTTTTTTTTTGTGATTTTTATACTTTTATATTGATTCTTATTTGAGTAATTTAAATATGGTGAGAAGATACTTAAATGTCATGAAAATAATGTCACAATTGAAAAATATCTTCTTGGTCCTAAAAATAGGCTTTTTGTTTTGTTTTTAGTGGGGGGTTGGAATATTACCTGGACATGTTTCTGAGAGGTTCTGTTGAAGTGGGTAATTAGAGATGTGAAGGTTTTATTCCGTGATTGAAGCCAGCGGAAATGTTGTGTGTTACCTTGGGTAACGGATCCCCACGGCAAACAGAATCACTCCAGACAGCTTGAGCTCCGAGGCAGCCAGCTGCACTGCCCCCTGGGACTTTCCGTCAGATAAGAGGATCACGATGCGTTGCACTGTGGAATTGCGTCCGCCGGAAAACCCCTTCCTCAGAACGAACTTCAGAGCCAGACCTGTCTGTGTGCTTCCACCTCTAAAGGAGAGAAAGAGTTACTTTAAACATTTCACATTAAGACATAAAACTGAGAGTTTATAATGTCAAAATTACTACTGTGACGTGATATTCCAGACTTTATTATCAGCTGTGTTGCTTGGTTTCTGAGTCTGTTTTTTCTTTGAGTCGTCCTTCACTGCCTCTGCTCTAATCTCATTAATTTAACTACAGCGGCCCCTCAGAAGTCTTAGGATAACACAGAAGCCCACTGTGTCCTTAAAGCTCCCTGCATGATGAAATCTAAACCAGATACAGCACTCTCAGCTTCACACAGGCTACATCTTCATCTTGGGGTTGATCTGCCTTCTTTCCAGTGTTAAAACTGTACACTCTCAGTACTTCATAAATTAACATTTGATACAGTTGATTAAGAAAGTTATGTAGGAATTGCAACCTAATCACAATATAAGAATGATTATATATATTATATATATATATGAAGAGCTCTTTTCCAAAACGCTATAAATCCATTTCAATAGTTTTCAGGAAAACTACATTTTTTACTTAGACCCACACATTTTGTGAATATTCAAATTATCCTGTTTAAATGTTTTATTGGTTCAGTCTGAACATTTTGAACAATAATTATTAAATCAAACAACAATATTGTTAATGATAATTTAAAAGTTAATTTTATTTTTTTCCAAAACGCTATAAATACATCCTTTTTTTGCATCATTTTTAGTAAAGTCATTTTTAGTAAAGTGTCAAACCTCAAACAAATAGTACCAATTTCAACATATGCATGAAAAAAAACGAATTATTAAAATTGATCAATATGATAACGACCCCTCCAGCACACACACACACACAGGCTACATAACATGTGAGCAAAGCGGAGCAGCATGACGCTTAAATGTAAGTAAAAAAAAAACTAAAAAAAAAATAAACATAGGCTACGTTTCACATTTGTGTTTAATAATATTACATTACTTATTTTTATTATTTCATCTATGTTGAGTAGGCTATGAAAAGGGAACCGCATGAGATGAGTAAGATAGGATCAAAATTCAAAAGCTGCCCAATATCGGAAAATATTTGGAGTGCGTCAGACATGATTTTGACCACTTATTAAGTTTTGTTTTGTAGAAAGCTTGTAAATTTCGTTTCATATAAATTGTATCTTCATTTTAATAAATGTTTCATCGACAAATTGACTGGATTAATACATTAGAAGTAAATATCAGACAATATAATCAGGACACAGAGGCGCGCAGGTGAACCGGAGCGCGTCTCATATATGAACCGAAACACCGCGACGCTTGCCTCACACAGGCCTGAGAACTAGGCTACAGAAAGCTTTAAATGTCTACTTTTAAACAAAACAATTAAAAACTAAAATAAATTGGCAACTCTCTGCGTATGTAGGCTAATTCGAAGTATGCGTTTCTCTAGGCCTATGCGCGAATTCGCATCCGAAATTTTCGTACGTTAAAAAAAAATTCGACCTCACGTAATGTCAGTCACGCTTGCACACCGCCTCCGAAACTTTCGTCCGTCATAAAATTAATCGGATCGGGTTCGATTTTCTGCGTTTTTCGCATCCAGAGCCAGCATTTTGAGAGGTCTTTTGAAAGGGGGGGAGCTCGTCCTCAAATCATTGCACATATGCGCCGTGCTTTCAGTTTCGGTTTTCAATTCAATCAAGTGTTTATGTTCTCTTCTCTATATTGGATTATGAAATTAACAAACCTCCCCTTTCAATCAGATCGAAATTTAGGATCGAATAAGGTGTGATTGAGCAGCCTATTCGATAACTAATGTATTATTTGGGCACAATATAATACACAATATGTACACAATAACAGCCTAGCTGTTCTGTCTGCCCAGCGCTTCCAACGGGCCGCGCGCGGGGGTGTGTGTGTTTGTGTGTGTGTCCATACCAGACACACTGCCAGTCTCCGTTCAGAATCGATTGTGGTCTTGTTTTTAATATGTGGCTCCAGAATCGCTAGCAAAGCATCAAACTGTCCCACTGACATTCTGAGGTAAATTTTGAATCGCTCAGGATAAATTCGCAACTCCTTGATAAGGAACTCTCCTTCCTCTCTGCGAAATTTCAGGATTGGATGGACGTAATATTTTCTCTTTCTTCTCTTTTCAATATGAGAGAGGGCAAAAATCATCCTCACTGCTTGACGAATCCATTTGGTATTTTTGCGTTTTTTTCCCGCAAAGGTTTAATAAATACGCATCGGACTCGGTGTGCAAGTTTCTATGCGTGACGAATTTTTAGGCTGACAAACACGAAAATACGCATACGAATATTTCGTACTCAGTGTGCAATGGCCTTAAGCATCAACTTTATCTTTGCTGCTGACACTAGTTTATTAATAAACAATTCAAATGTTTCATGCATAATCATTACTTTTGCCGGTTCTTTGTGGCAAGCTTTATGCATACGTTGAGATGCGGAATAGGCAATTAAAAACGCTCATATGGTTTCTCTCCCATTTAATTAAATCAATATATGTGATTACTGATAATACAAATGGCTTAAATGATCTACTAGTCGACTACTAGGACTCATGTTGAGAAATGAATGAACATAATAAACCTCTGTTCAGAGTGCCGCCGTGCTGGAATGCGTAGAACGCTCATTGAATTTGATGATTTATCGCATTTAGCCTAAAAACAGGGCTGGCGCTTATTGCGTTTTGGAAAGAAACTGTATCTTGCAGTACATTTTAAACAAGGAAATATACCGATTTGGCATGAAACGTTGATGGAGCAGTGAAAGGGTTCTGTCCACAGCAGAATGACACGACAAACTCATTTTTTTTAAAAACGGCGTTTATCGCGGTTTGGAAAAGAGCTCTTCATATATAAAATACAGTTTCACAAGTAACTTTTTAAACAATGGCATAACAGCTATATTATTATAAGTCAACTATTGACAATGCTTCTTTATACAGCACTGAAATACATGATCTCTCCTCCATCCTTCAAGGATATTGACTAATGTCAGTGGAGACACAGGCATGTGCACAGCTGGGCTTCTCTCCATCATCTTTGCCCACAGTTGTTCAGCTAGACAGACGAGTGGTGACATTTTCATGGAGTGGGAATCTGAAATGGTAATTTCACAGCTTGTCTAGGGAGATGTGGTATGTCCTGACTGGGTGATAAGGTTTAGGCCAGCTGTGTGCTCAGAGTGTACAGTAATTCAGCTACTAGTCATTACAGAACCCTTCACTACAAAAAAACATTAATTCAACCTCATAAAGTCATCCATCATTACACAACGCACTCCGACACACATGCACACACATGTTGAGAGTGTATTGTAAACACAAGACCCCCATGGCTGTGTCGACAACGTTTCAAAGATGTAAAATGGAGTGAGATATTTCTCATCCTCCACACAGGAAGTGCTGAGCCCTGATAGACACACAATAACACTAATCTCTGTACCTATAGTGGATTTTCTTCATCTTTTTCTTCAGCTCCTCCTTGCTCTTGTATGAGTCTAGACTGATTTCCAGTTTGGGCGTGGAACCAAATTGAACCACGCCAACTTTCACCTGCCCAAAACAGAGAATGCAGTTTAAACAACATAAACATGAAAAGGAAACTAACAATTACTTAACATAATGCCACAATTAGACTGCATTCAAGAATTAAAAGAATAGTTCACCCAATAATGACGTTCAGTCATTACCCCAGTGGCGGCTGGTGAAAAATATTGGAGGGGGGGCTGAATAAGAGGGGGGTCTGGGGGTCCCCCCCCAGAAAATTTTGAATTTAGTAGATGTGATTTCCTGCATTCTGGTGCATTTTAGGCCTTAGACCTATACCAATAAAATAACTTAAACCAGTCAATACCAATGGTCAAATAATACAATAATAATAATAACAGTTTGACAGTTACTGATAATGAACAAGTTGTTTATTATGCTCTGTGTGCTGACAAAAAAAAAGTGCAAACGCATAATATTGATAAATTATAATATAGGTAATACAAAAAATAATAGATAATACAACAATCTAGTTTAATCCATCCCCAGCTGTAGATTACATATTTTTGACAAATTGACAATTGGATAATGGATAACAATGTGTTGATACTAGAGAAAGAGAGAGAGAAAAGGCTGTGAAGGAGAGGGTGGGACAACATTCTTGCGGGTAACACCCAAGTATGAGAAGAAAGTTGATTTTAACTAGTATGAAACACAGTAATCTAGCTCAGAACTTAAAAACATCAAAAACAAAGCAAACACACAGGTATTAATATTCCTATAACTATTTTAATATCAAATGTGTGTGAAACAGTGTTTATGTGTGTGTGAGTGAGTGAGTGAGTGACAGAGACAGACAGGTCAATTCCCACGACTTACTTTACATTATTTCCACTCGACGTCACTGACGCTGCCATTCTTCTCTCATCTGAGGTAAAAAAAATGTCCCGTGGTGCGCGTGCACGGTGCACTCCCCTAGTCTGATACTGTGGGCGATATTTTCAGCGCCCCTAAACCATAAAATTTGACGACGCTGATTGGCGAAATATAAACTTTTTTGCATAGCAACCGGGGAACTATTGGCTTAAATTCCAGCACTGTGGGGCTGAGCGAACTGGCGCCCTGAGAAGACAGCCTATTGGCTATACTACTACACCAACATGATAAAAGTAACGAAAGTGAATGCAAATATCATTCTGGTGAGTTCAAAACACTTTTCAAAGTAAAACCATTATTAGCATATAATTAACATTGATTATTTTTCAAAATTATAAATTATAATATATATTAAAAAAACAGACAGACAGGTCGGAGGGAGGGCGGCGCCCCAGCGCCCTCTATGGGCGAGCCGCCCCTGCATTACCCTAATGTTAAGAAAGCTCGTTTCCGTATGGAAAAAAAGTGAATATTACAGACTTTTTTTCCTCACAAATGCATGTTCATATCTCACAATTCTGACTTATTTTTTTTCCTGAGTTCATATGATCACAACTCTTACTTTATATCTCACAATTGCGAGTTAATTTCTTATATACATCTCATAATTGTGAGATAAAACTTGCAATTTTGAGAAATAAGTTAGCTCACCATTGACTTTTCAGTTCTTTTATCTTTTAATTTCTTAAAATCTTTTAATTCTGAGATTGTGAGATATAAACTCGCAACTGCTAAGGAAAAAAGGTCAGAATTGTGAGATAAAAAGCTGCAATTACCTTTTTAATTTGTTTTATTCCGTCGTGGAAACAAGCTTTCATGTCACGTCGTTCCAATCCTGTATTCAGTTCACCCAATAATGAAGTTCTGTCGTTACCATAATGTTAAGAAAGCTTGTTTCCATATGAAAAAAAGTGAATATTACAGTTTTTTTTTCCTCAAAAATGCAAGTTTATATCTCACAATTCTGACTTATTATTTTTCCTGAGTTCTTATATCACAACTCATACTTTACTCACAATTGCGAGTTAATATCTTATATACATCTCATAATTGTGAGATTAAAAACATGCAATTTTGAGAAATAAGTTAGCTCACCATTGACTTTTCAGTTTAAATCTTTTAATTCTGAGATTGTGAGATATAAACTCGCAACTGCTAAGGAAAAAAGGTCAGAATTGGGAGATAAAAGTTGCAATTACCTTTTTAATTTTTTTTTTTTCGTCGTGGAAACAAGCTTTCATGTCACGTCGTTCCAATCCTGTATTCTGATATTTTTTGTAGCGACAATGGCTGTCAAATATCCAAACACAATAAGCACCATAAAGATAGTTTATTTGACTTGTATGCTATATTCCTTTACATCTTCTGAAGCCAAATGATGTCTTTGTGACAAAAAAAGACCAACTGTTCACTATAATCAGTCATTATTCACTCTTGCCTTGCCTTGTCACAGTTGGTTACAGCACGGTTACTTGAATACATCACAATCACAATAAACTTATTGATCACAATTTTTCATTTATTGATCACAATAAACTTTCATTATGTCAAGAGCTGCATTGTAAATGAAACGACATTTACTTTTGGGTGTTACTTTTAATCAGACATTGATTTTTATGCAAATCTGACCTTGTCTGGGCTGACATCAAGAGCCTCACACAGCTTCAACATGTAGTGCCGGGATCGTTCGAATCCTCCTTTCCCAACGCTGTAGGAGCTGTCCATCACAAAGAGAATATCCACTGCTGCAGAGCACTGCATCACTGACCACACGCAGAAGAAAACACAACGCTTACCATTAAGCTAGTCAACGGTCACTAATGAATTAGTGCGCAAAAAGTCAAGACTGATTAACCCAACTGCACATTAAAAAAAAAAACACAGCGGTGATGCAAAACAGCAACACTTACACGTTCACATAAACACTAGCCTATATTTGACACATTTAAGGAGCTCAAAGGTCACCTCTGGCATGTTCTAGCAGAGATAAATACTCACAAACACATTACAGCAAGTTTGTGCTAGTCAACCGGCTAAATTATAATCCATGTAGCTGTCATGTTAGAACCCGCCGTCTGTCATGAAGAAGGTGATTAGACGGAGACGGCATGCCGCTGTCTGCACCAGCACACAAACACATTTACCTAGCTATAGAAATGCACACATAGCACAGACTGGCATTGTTTTTATGCTACTTATAATTTCTAAAGACAGGATTTAGCTCACTTCTGGGGGCAATTTTGGCCCTAAACTATGGCTAAGTAAATACACTAACTCTCACAGGCTTTCTGTGTCTATGTGGAGTCATTCATTGAAACTTTTAATATGAAACTAAACCCTCTCTTTACAAGTAAACACAGGTTTTTGACTCCCTTGCACATTTATATGGAGACACATTGGCATTAGATCAGTGGTTCTTTATACAGACATAAATTCTTTTTTTAAACAGTTCCTCTGCAATATGAGTGCATCTGATTTTCTGACTGGGAAAGAAAAATTCAACACTCACTTTCTCCAGCAGCGTTGATTTTCATAATGGTTTCAAGATCTGTTTGCATCTCCTGTACAGAGAAAATTGACCAAACTATAAAGAAAGAGATACTGTAGTTAGCAGTTAATACGCATAAAATTTCAATTTCAAATGTTCCATTTTAAATATAGAAATATAATTTTTAAATGAAAGCTTGTAAACTAATAACAAAAGGGTCATATTTCACCTAAAAATTAAAAGAAAGATGATATAGTTTAAAGGAGTAGTTTACTTTTTAAAAAAAAAACCTTTGCTAATAATTTACTCACCCCCATGTCATCCAAGATAATACAGTCGAAAAGAAATTAAGGTTTTTGATGAAAACATTCCAGGATTTTTCTCCATATAATGGACTTCAATGGGAACCAAACGGTTCAAGGTCCAAAAGACAGTTTCAGTACAAACTGCAAATTGTTCAAAGGGCTTTAAACGATTCCAGACGATGAATAAGGGTCTTATCAAGGATTAGGCTGATTAGTTGAATGAACCAAATGTCAAGAAAATTATTTGTTCATTTTGATGAACGAGTTTGAACAGGAGAGTCATGAACGCGCATCACAGAACAGAGTAAGGCGACCATTTGAGCTTATAAAACTTAAACTTTTTTTTTTTTTAAATGAGTCATTGTTTCACTTGATAAGACCCTTATTCATCGTCTGGAATCGCTTAAAGCCCTTTAAACAGTTGGCACTGAAACTGTCTTTTGGACCTTGAACCGTTTGGTTCCCATTGAAGTCCATTATATGTAGAAAATCCTGGAATGTTTTCATCAAAAACCTTAATTTCTTTTCGACTGAAGAAAGAATGACATGGATATCTTGGATGACATTGGGGTAAGTAAATTATCAGCAAAAGTTTCCTTCCTCCTTTAAAAACAACCTATTTTTAGGATTGTTAAAGCTATTTTAAAACAATTAAGCACCACCACCAAACCTTGTAAATCTAACAGAAAAAAAGTGCCATCACTGTAACAGGGAAAAATATTATGATATATTACTTAAATTAGTTTTTAATACATCATGATCGTAAACATTGCCTGTGGTAAACATAACTTAATGATACTTTAACGTTATGTTCTACAACATACACTGCACACCCCAACTGTCTTTTCCAGTTACTTATTATAAGAAACATACGTTTTCAAAAATAAAAACATAACTGTTTCGAAATTCGCGTTTTCAGTACGGGTGTGTTTGTAAAGTATGAGTATCATCAAGTTATGTTTTCCACAGACCTTATTTTACTCATGAATTGAAGAAAAAAATATATAAAAACCCATAGGAAAATCTTGGCGAATTATTCTTCGGGCTTCTGATACCTCTTCATACCTCTGATGTCTCTATAGTCTTGATCATAATGCAAAAAATCTCAATGGTCATAAAAAATATTTCAGGTGTAATGTGACTTAGACATGTATTTAGTGTTACTGACCAAGGTACTCCCTCAGGCACTGTCAAAGTCAACAACAGGTTGCACAAATGAGTCATTTAAGCACGACTCCTAGATAGCTGATCTGACCCCAAGACACAGCTCCGTATGGAACTCCCAAAACATCTTTCAGAGAGGAATAATTTAGAACGATCGGCATTCCAGCAACGCCCACTGGACATGAAGAGAACGGTCAGGCTGTCCTAGCCCATGTTTCCCGCTCGAGTGAGCAGGGTTCAGAGCATGCTCTCTCATGCATACAATCAATGATTGAGAGGCAGGGGCCATGAGAACAGCCCAGGGCAGTGAAGACCCTGTGCAACACTCCTGTTGAGTGGAGTGCGCTTGAGAATCACACACTTTAATCATGTGCTTTTGTCCCCTAACACTCATGCCATCGTGATGAGGGCTGTCTCAGCACATCGCCATGGAAACAGACCTCGGCCTAAGAAACCTGCAGGATGCCCCGAGTAGATGAGGTTTAATTTAACACCTACATTTTATGTATTTATAAAATAAAGCTTTTATTGACACCAGCCTCAGAAAACAACTTGTTTTTCAAAGTGGGGAACTATGACGTCAAAGAGGATAAAACACCACCCCCGCAAAAGAAGATCAATGCCTGCTTCAACACGGCCGGTTTAGCCCCGCCCACTGATTTGCGCGTTACACGCATAGTAAATAACATAGATGCCTACCTCGTGGTAACAAACCAGATCGAGAGTTAAACTCATTATAATATGCAAAGCTGTTATCCACTCACAGCAGTGGGCGTTTACTTTCAAGTCTTCAATGCGAGACGCCCATAAAAACCGAGCATTTTAAAGCTAAGCTCAAAACTAGGGTAGAAAATAGCCCATTAATTATTCTTTCTGATGTTTTTTTAATGTAAAAACCAAGCGAACCTCATAAGTTGACCTCAGACAATAATATAAAAATGACCCATTTAATGATTTTGTTTGAATATGTAGGCTACTATTATGCATTTTTACATCTAAAGAAGAAAGGATTGGTAATCCTACAAAGGGGATGTCAGAGCTAGTTATTTTCATATAATAGAGGACCAGCATCAATGATGTATGGCTCTGAACAAGTCAACTTGTACTAGGTTACAATGAATCTCCCCTCAAACCCTGGGGTGATCCCTTCTGACAGCTGTGGAACCAAGAGACATTTTATCGCCTGATTTGAGCGGTCTGAAGGACTAGTCTAAATCCCTCCTCAGATTTATGGCATATGTTCAGGAACGTAAAATGGGAAAATATTTCAGGAACACAGTAAGATATCTCAATTCAGAACTCGACACTCCAACAAATCAGCAGGACAGCCAATAAAGAATAACAATTATGTAAAGTAAATGTTTTGAACAGATTTGGATCTCTTGGCAAATGATGTAAAAGTTAACGCACTTGTTGAGAAAATAAACATCTGGCTGAAATTCCTTGAGGGCTGTAATGAATTATTCTTTTCACATACTGAGTTACAAACAACACATTTCTAAAGCACAATGAAAGATTTGCATCTAAAAATCAACAAACAGTATTTAAATCTCTAAAAAAAATAAATAAAAATAAAGTGCTTAGTCACGTTCTCTTACCTTGGCCAAACAGGAGAAAGAGAAGGAGATGCAGCCGACTTCTAGAGGACATTGCATTCAGCCCTGAAATGTGAATAAAAAGAATGAAAAGTTAAAAAGTCAAGCAGGAAGTCTTTGAAGAGGCCAACTACTGAGTAACTGTGGCTAAAAAAAACATGGCTTTGAGAATTCTAACAAAGAAAAAGCAGCAGTGAGAAAGACTATCTGGGAAAACAAAATCGGGAGAGAACGATATCTTTGAATTTCACTCATGAGATGGTGGGCTTGAGGTTACGTTGTATGGACCCCCACAGGTTGGACAAGCTAGGAACGAGGAATGGGAAAGATCCAGGCTGTCTGAGGGCTAGTTTGTGATCAAACCCAACCAACTAATGGTAGAAGGACTCGGGTAGCATGAAGTCTGCAAAGAGAGTCTGTACCCTATGCATCATTAATGACTGACAGCAGTCAAGCCCTGCACTACAATTCAAAGGACCCATGGTAAAATTCATATGGGTGGGCCAACTCTCCCCTGAGCCCAATGAGGAGGCATTAGTGGGCCCCAAACAATGTTCCTAGTCGTCCCCCTGATCACAGGCAAGCTCAAGTCTGAGCCAGTCAAACTGTCGTCACATCAGACTAATCATTTACCCGTCTGTGTTTTGAGAAAAGAGGAGGGACAGCCCAGTGATGTGTGGAGAAAACAGAATGATACTGTTCATCTCAGATGAAGTCCCCCTGCAGCCGCAAAATACTCCTGTGCCACATTCCCAGAGCTTAAGGTCAAAGTTCACATCTTTAAGAGCCCAATTTTATTATTAAATTAAACATGTTGACAAATGCCAGCTGGCTGCACCAGACAGGGGAATTATTCACCGCCACGAGTGACTGGATTTAATCTCAACGCCTACCTGTTCTGCTCTGCAATCAAAGTCAAGCCAACACACATCCAAAACCAACACTGGGAAATACAAGAACTGGCACATGTTCAGACTACTAGAATTAGCTACTTATTTCTAAATGCATTATGCATTAACCACAGGATGACATTGTTTCATTTAACTGTTATTCAGCAAGGACACATTAAATTGGCCAAATTACACAATATTTATGCAAATAAATGCTGTTCTTTTGAACTTTGTATTAATCAAAGAACCCTGAAAAAATGCATTACGATTTCGAGAAAACTATTAAACTGCACAACTATATTCAAAATACTTAATAAATAATACATTTTCTTGAGCACCAAACAGCATTATTAGAAGGATTTCTGAAGGATCATGTGACACTGAAGACTGGAGTATTGATGCTGAAAATTCAGCTTTGCCGTCACAAGAATTAAATACATTTTAAAACATATTCGAATAGATGGTTATTTTAAATAATATTTCACAAGATTACTGTTTTACTGTATTTTTGACCGAATAAATGCGGCCTTGGTGAGCATAAGAAACTTCTCACAAAAACATTGTCATCTTACATTTGTAAGGACATCCATAACACACATTTAAAGACACACCCTCACACATGTTACAGCTGATTCAATTTTACAAACCTTCCCAAACGTAGTCGTTGTGGTTGAGAAAAATAACAGTATATTTCAAGTCTATATACCGGTAGTCAGATCTTCATCCAAGATGACAATCATACTGGTGTGCATTCAGAAGAATCTTTCCTTCAATTGTGTTTGAGAGACGTTTAAAGAGCAGAAGCAAAATGTTTATGTCTGCACTGTTGTATCCGATTGGTCAGGCTCCAGGTGTTAAGAGCAGTTTAAAGGCAGAGTGGTTATCAGTTTTGGAATGAAATAAAGTGACTATTGAGCCAGTTTGGACCCGTGAAGTCACTCTTTCATCGTCTCTCACGATTGGACTTCTGAAGATACCCACAGAGCACCACTCGAGAGGAAACGTAGCCACCTGACATTCTTAAAGATAGAATCTATTCTGTAAAGAACCAAATCCAGCAAACTGAGAGAAAGACTTTTGGACAATCCAGCCACACAGCACCCTTTCTGAGACTTCAGAAATTTTCGGTCTACAGTCGTTGAAGGGAATCTGATAAAATCTTACCCTGATAAGGTGCATTTCCTACTCATGAATGAACAGCAGGAAGAAGACAGCACTTGTTCAGGTGCCATTTCAGAAAACCTTCTTTGAGGATGATAATCATCTAGATTCTAAGAGCACCTCACAATCCTGCCATACGATAACCTTGACTAACAACCCGTCTCGGTCTGTGTAACAAGTGGAGCCGTCTAGGGCCAGATCATTGGGGATCTGCTCTCCCAATTCCTCTTTATTCCCAATTTCATACATTCCTCACTGGTCTAAGCTTTCACTTTAATTATTTCCTACTTTATCAATGAACAATTCCTAACCTGATCTTTTAGATGCACAAACCCCAAAAAATATGATCAGCCTCACCCCGGGGGACCTCCATGCTAAAATAGAAAAGCCAGCAATAATTTTAATGCACTTTTTACAACATTTAATGTTGTAAAACATATTTTGCTCAGACTGTCCTCTCAGATAACCATTTATTTAAAATTTGCTGCAAGGTTTAATAATTAAAAAAAAAAAAAAAAAAAAAAAAAAAACATATTCAGCAACAACAAATTTGTACTAATCTTTAATTTTCTTTCTTTCTCCCCTTTCATTGTTTGCTGTTGTAACTGTAATTTATAAAAGTCCTTCTATGGTGTAGCAAATTAGCTTTAGCTACAAGCACTATCATGCATTGGATGGTGTCAGTTTTATCTATGTTTATTCTATCTGTCCCAATTCAAATAAAACATTAAATAAATAAAAGTTGGAAACTACATCAGCTTTCATACAGTTGTATGATATTGTTAAACATACTAAAGATATTGATTTAACTGCAGAGCTTACGCTTGTAAGTGGACGAGAGACACACGGGACAGGTGTGTGCAGCTGCTTGATCCCACTGGGAGGAAATGACTTGAGCTCAGTGCACTGGACTCTCCTGTAATCAGAGGAGTGACAGTAAATGAGAAGAGAGGCTGAGGATGAAAGCACACAGCACTCAAATGCCTGATAATAAGGTCCTTATTTAAGGCTCACTTATTAAAACTCATTTGTGACAATCCATTTTCATTGGAAATTATGAGCAAACTTCACTTTAAGACATTTAGAATTATGAATTAAGATTGCTTAGTATCGTCCTGTGCAGTGACGTCACGCATGCAGCCGCTACAGAATTGCAGTTAATTTTGCATTAATCATTGTTAACTCTATCTATTTAGCATTTGCTTGATAATAATGAACGTCATTTTGTAATAAACTTAATAAAATTAGCCTGTTACATTCTTTAATGCGGAAGTTAGTATAAATCTAATTAATATGCCTGTTTGTATTCTGCAAAATGAGTTCACTTTCCCAATTTTTTTTAAAATAAAACATTTCATTCATTCCATTCCGCACAATGTTGTTTCCTAGAAGAAATAAATATATTTGTTGTAACTTAACATATTAAGTTGTAACGTAACATATTCTGTGTTTTGATTTTGGTAACGAGGACGATTTAATGAAGATAAAATTAAGCCAACAAATGTTCAATATATTGTCCAAGCATGTAACAAAATTACGATGTTAAACAATTTTATTGACACTACTATCCATGAAGATATTCTTGAGAAAGAGCAAGACCTTGAAATTACTCCAGTCAAGGTTCAAGTTCTAGCACCGCATCACCGACCATTTTGAGTTTAATTTCGTAAAACTTCAGCTAAACGACAACTTCAAACATTTCTATTTAAAATTAGCCACGTTAAAATCTTGTAATAGTTCTTAGTCACAATGAGTCTCACCTCTCCGTCCTGTTGTCCCGCAGGTACTAAGTGTCAGTTTCTCCAGTTCATGTCGTGTTGAACAGGAGAGGGTGCTCTGCTCTTCTACTTCCGCACTGACTTCATGCTCAATTCAAATTACTCTAAACCTCTCATCAAACCAAGACCAAAATACCCCCGAGACAAAGTTATTAAAAGTGCTACCTTTTTTCATGTCATTCTCAAAAACAAACAAAAAAAAGGATTAAGTAAGGAATTGACGAATTGTTCATCCCACAATGAAAATTCTCATGTTTCAAACCAGTACATCTTTCTTTTGAGTGACATGAGACTTTCATTCCCGTATAGCGTGTTTCTCAGTGAAGTGAAATGTGACAGAGGCTTTATGTCTCATTAACATCTTATGTGCCACAGAAAAAAAGTCTAGTTTAGATGTGAAAAATAACAATAAATCTTTGTGAGAAAGTTTTTACAAAGACAAACCCACTTAAAAGGCTCACAAAACTAATTAAAAACAGTTGGTACATACTCTATAAAGGAGAGGGAAAAAAACAAATGGCTCCAAACAAACTTAAATACTTTTTTAATCAAACTGGCACACACAAACGAACAAAACTGGCCATAGAAAAACAAAACTGACAATGTGGAACTGGAAAACTGAATGACAATGCTGCATTATTCACGATTAGTTACATTCTCTCTTGGCTTAAATAAAATCACAAACATTATATAGGCTATAAAACAATAGCAACAATATTAGTTCAATAAAACAAAAATAAAATATTTTCACACTTCTCTAAAGATAAAAGCTACTAGACAATGAAGATCTTAAGTCACTATTTGGTTCCACCAGCTTGTTTGACGAGGAGCAGAATCAATTTCTCAATATGGTCAACCTGAAGAGGGAAAAATAATTAAATAAATCAATAGAATAAGCCATTTAAATATTAAGTAAAACTATGCATAACCTAAAAAAAAGTAATTGCAGCTTTCCAAACCTTTTGCTTCAACTCAAGACAACAGCATGATTGAGGAGCTAGAAAGAAAGACATATTTCAAAAAGATGTTTAATTTGGTTAATTAGAACATTTATATTTTAAAGCTCATAAAACTACAGACAGGTTGCCGCTTAAACAAAAATCAGCAGCTGTGCACTAGGCTAAACTACTCAATATCTGACTGTCAAGGCCAATTCACAATGCACTGACGGACACGACCAACATGGAAAAAAATCACCAGAATTACAGTGCTGCATGTCACAACTCAAACAGGTGCCAACCAACACCAGAGGCCGAACACACTGATCCGACAAAACCCAACAAAGTGTTTCAAAATCTATCAGTGCGGTGTGACTTGTCCTTACTGATTACAAATGTCATTGTCAACATGTTTACAATCCTTTGCAAGTTATCAGTCTCAGAAACGCTAATACCCACCAGTGCTGCCCTTTGAGCTTGTAATGTCTTGTGCCTCAGTGCATTCCACTACAGCCGTAGTCTTGGGCATGTTTTCTGAAATTAGACATAAATGTTTGAAACCTGTTTCACTGGATATGATGACAAGGCTCCTTTTAAATAACACCTTTGAGTTACAGCTGAGAACACCAGGTGGAACAGCACCTGTGCACCAGAATTTCATTGCTACATATCCTGGACCAATTATTGCGCAAGCCCAGTAAACACCTACATTAATACTTAGTTTTGCCAACATGAATTCTGCTCAATGTTCCTCACCTGGTTCCTCAAGCCTGTGGCTGGTACTTAAAGGCGGGGCTTGATCTTTCAGGTCATGTTTCTCCATACCTGCAGATTGAGTTTTATCTGCAGTCTTGTTTGAGCTGACAGGTTGTGTCTGGCTCTTATCTAGATCCTTTTTCTCCTCATTGACGATGGAAGGCAGCTTTGAGTTAGCCTCGCTCTGTCCTTTCTGCAGAGCTCCAAAGATGATGGAATTAATATCTCTGTCACCTTGACCTGACTGCTGGGTAAGGGTTAGCAGGTTGGAGGTCCCATCAAAGCCCTGCAGATTTGCAAGGACACCCCCACTCAACTGAATCCCAAAGAGTTCCAAAACTTCAGTGGGCCACACTGTAGGAAAGTGCTCTTTACCTGTGGAGGGAAAAAAAATAAAAAAATACAATCATGGCTCTTCAAAAGTTATATTTATCACTTTTAATTTAAAATATCAATTTATCACAGCCAATTTATCCCCAATTTATCAATTAGAGAGAGAAAAAAAGTTAAGTAAATTGACCGATTAATACTGATTAATATCAGTTAAACAGTTAAGTTTTATAATATTAAGTCAAATATTAAGTTACCTAGGCAACCAAGAGAGAGATAGTACAGGTAGTTACACTACCGACTGTGGTGTGCTTGGGTTCAGTGTTTATTTTTCGGCCCAGTACTACTAACCGGAGTAAAGTAAAATTCCGCCGCTGCTGAGAAACTAGTTCCTGTAAATGTAATGCGATCGTTGAAGTACAAGAGTACTTTGATTTTATTATTCTCTCAATAGACATTTAAATCGATAGCCTGGCGTTATAGCTTATTTGCTTTTGGTGTATTGTGGAGTGGGTAAAACTGTTTATAATGACAGGCTAGCAGTTACCGTTGACTAGTGGTAGCCTAGCATCGGCGAACTATGCAACTGGAAGGACTGGATGAAATCGGGAAAATTTCATTAGGAAAATTAACCGAAATGAGCATCACTAGTCCGTTCTGATATTTGGCACAGATTACCTGTTAAAGTGTATGTTGAGACGTTTTCAGATCTAATCTTAAACCTCTCAATCTGTTAGCAGACACATTGGGGTCGTCACGATGATAAACATTTAAATAGGATTTTAAATCAGGATTATGACTAGGATTACATCAGTACTTTCATAATAGGCAATGAGAAACAAGTCTACAAGGAGACTGGGAATGAAAAAAACAAGACAATCTTAACATCTTGAAGTGTGTTATGTGACACGATTGTGCATGTTTGATTATTTGAGAAAAAAAATTTGGGGAAAAAAAAAAAAACTGATTCTGAAATCTACATCACACCCTTCCAGCCTAACAAGGGTTTTAACATCAGCAATGATTTGTGCATATTCAGACAAGTGAAAGTCTTACCTGCCAGTCCACACCTGACGATCTGAAATGGATGCTGGAGAAGTTCTTTGGAGATAGGAAGGATACTGGAGACAGGGACTGTTTCCATGTTCCCATAATCGGCGTAAATTATATGTGCATGTTTGGTCGTCACCTCCAACACAACAGCTCTGTACCAGTTTTTGTCACCTGAACAAAAGAGTTAAATTTCATTGATTTAAGAACACATCAAGGGGATATCAGTAGCTCGACCACATGACAACATGAAACTAAAAACACATTACAGGAACAACGCTCTCTTAAAATTAACATTGACATAGAATATGTGAGATTTACAAAAAAAAAACTATTTTAAAATCACTTATACAGGGGGTTATTGCACACACACACACTTTTACAGCTGTGGTTTAAAAGCTGCAGTTCCACTACAGGTGTCATTTTTATATGGACCTGGAATTTAATAACTTTTCTTTCTTAATACATTTTAAAAAGTAATTTATTTCTTTGCTGGTAAAGCGGCTATAAATCCAGTCTTCAGAAATCATTCTAATACTCTGATTTGGTGCTCAAGAAACATCTTGTTATTATCAAAGTTGAAAACATTGTGCTGAATGTATTTTGTAGAAACCGTGATGCATTTCTTCAGGATTCTTTAAATAAAAAAAAAAAAAAAGTTTAAAAGAACAACATTTATTTGAAATAGAAACCTTGCCACCCAGATAAGCCACAGGGGTGAAGGTCAAACTGACCTGAGAACTGTGCGCAGCAGGCAGCTCCTGGTAAAGGGTGGCACTGATTGGGGATTGGCTGTTTGCTGCAGTACTTCGCAACATCAGTCATAATGGCATTCAGACCCTCTGCATTCACTAGGAGGAACACAAATTCAGCTTAACATAAAGAAGCATCATTCTAATGGTACAACCATATATAATAATATAACCAAAATAATAGTCGCTAGACTTTATGCTTTAAATGCTACAATACGAGTACACACCTTGTCCAGGATTCATTATGTAAAAGAGACTTGGGCTGATCACTGCTGCTACCCTTGGTTGGAACGTGTCACTGCAATGCAGCTCCAACGTCTTCCAATTCAAAGGAAAAGAGTCACCTAAACGACAGTGAACATTATTTAAATGACAGTAAACAATTAAAGTGAGTTGCATATTACTAGTACTAGCATTTAAAAAAAACAATAAAGCCATGTTTTAACATCAGTTATACTAACTTACTAAATGCAGTTGAAACGTCTGGTGCACTGGCAGCTCCACTGTTGTTGTTCAGTTCCAAAGGCTCTTCAACAGGTGGATTCTGATCAATGGGTTTTAGAGTGGGCAGATCCTCAATCTGATTGATGGGTTTAGTTGGCTGCAGTGGAGGCTGTTTCACCGGTCCACAAGGTCTAGCCAGGTGCTCAGAAATTAGCACAGCAGAAATGTTTTGACCAGCGCTCTCTAGCTCCATCCCATAACCCTTCTCAGTAATGGACAGCACTCTGCCACTCAGTGGCTGACTGGCACAAAGAGCCTGAAACTTGTGCATCGCCTCTTTACTCCACTGACCCTCCACTGGTTCGACACCTGCACACAGTGCTTGTTGGCCATGTGTACAATGCACTTACAACAAAACAAATTTATAATTTATATCTACACAAAAAAAAATACCTGCAAGCCAGCAGCGGATTGCTTGGAAAGGCAGCTTGAGCAGACTCTGGGTGATGGCCTTCAGATTTGCTGCCTCCACCTCACAGAAGTTCCCATAGTCCACAAAATAAACTCTTGCCTTACCCTCTCCACACACTTCTAATACCATGGCTCTGTACCACTGGCCATCTCCTGCAAACAGGAAGCAAAAACATTGAAAATTGGATTTACATTACCATTTAAAAGTTTCTTAATCCTGTTAAAGCTAGGATGCATTACACTGATCTAAAGTGACAGTAAAGACTAACAGTGTTACACAAGATGTCGATTTCAAAAATTCTTTTTAAATGGGTCATCGGATGCAAAATTCA